ATAAACATGAAATTTCGACGCTCCGCGCGGATTTCTTGGATCTGCGCCAGGCCCCCCTGGCGGCGCCTCCGGCGCCGCCCCTGGCGCGCTCCGCGCGCCAGGGAGGGGGTCCAGCGCAGATCCAAGAAATCCGCGCGGAGCGCCAAAAGTCAATTCCTACAGTCGGCCCAAATTAGTAGGTCGACTCTACCAAATCAAGGGTACCCTTGTGTCCTGTGTCTCGCGACCCATGCCTCCTACATTCCTTTGGCAATGTGGCCCTCGGAAGGGTCTTGTGTCCTCTCGCGTGTCCTGTCCCATCGAGTCCGACTGTATATGCCGTTTTTTCTTCCTCTGCTTGCCGGGCCTCGGGTCCGCCGCAAAGCGACTCCGAACGGCCAAGAGCCGGTGCCAGGGAAGGGCTCGAGGCCTCGGGACCGTACATGGACAATATATTCGAACCCTTACACATGTGAGGGAGATTCTAAATCACCCCCGCGCCCCCGACATCAATGTTGATCTCAGTAAAGGCGGTGCTTTGGGGTTCGAATATTTCTGTCCACTCACGCCCCCCCCGTCGCCACGCCATCAATAGTAATTTCGGGGGCATCTTGGGCCACAGGGTTCGAATATAATGTCCATGTACTGGAGGTCGAGGTGACGTCGTGAGGTCGGGGGTTTGGCTCCGTCTTTGTGCATGTGTCTTCTGTCTCGCTCTCCGGGCCTCCCGATCGTGGGAGCAGCGTAGGCGGGGCGCGAGGGTCGCGCCGCAGCGCCGCTGCGTCGGCGAGGCGGCTCCATGTGGGGCCCCATTCTCTTCACGCCGACGTCGCCGATGCATCGCCGACGTCACAGATCTGCGTCGCGGATGCATCGGTGATGCATCGACGATGCGGCACGATCCTCCGAACCCCACCTGCTCGGATCCCATCTGGGCGACGCCAGAAGAAAACGGGGTCGTCTGCGCCGACGTTGTCGCGCAAGTTGCCCGCGCAAGTTCGCGCGTGAGCGTCCTCGTCCCCACTGTGGCGTGCCGCGCGTGCGGCCCGCGCAAGCTTCGGCGTCAGGTCGCTACGTCATCTTGCGCAAGACCCGTTTTTGATCGTCGCTGGTTTGGAAGGCTTCTATTACCGAAGCAGAACATGAACGACACGAGCAGAAGTTGACGAACCAACAGCACACACACACCCATACCCACAGGGGGGTCGGAGAGGGCTATGGGTGCGTGTTGTCGGATGGGATCCACGCTCGAACGGGAGCGTTGTCCGCGCGGACCTCCGAAGGTGCACGGTTGTGCTTTTGCTTTCCTCCGGGAGGGAAAACGGCACGGACACAGAGGATCGTCGATTCCCCGAAGAGGAAGGGGAAGCGTGGGAGGTGGAGGGGGGAAGACGAGGATCCAGAAAGCGTGGAAGATGTGTGTGGGGGGAATCCAGGGAGCTGTGCCCATTTGTTTGTGTGTGCCTGGACCCCTTCACACGTCTCTCTCTCTCTCTCTCTCGTGCTCGCTTCACAGGCAACCATGGGGGGCACAGGCTCCGGGGGCCACGCATCGGCCCCCAATCACCCGTCCCTCGCCGGGCCCCCCTATCGCCGAGTCCAGGTCGACGTTCCCGGACCTCGCATTGTGACAAAAATTGCGGCGGCAAGTTTCTCCTTACTCTCGGCCTCCGGGTGCCCTTCCCAGGCCTCGGGACCGTCAAAGAGCGACTCAGGAAGAAGAACCGGTCCCCGGGCAGGGGTCCAGGACCTCCGGGGGTCGACGTTATGAAAGAATCGCGGCGTCGGGGGTCTGGGTTCCCCCCTCCCCCTCCCCGCCCTCCCCCCCGTGCAGGGTTCCACCCCGGTCGTTCTCCTTCAGTCTTCCGCACTGGCACCTGCCTCGCGGAGCGTGCAGAAGGTAGAGGTCGAGGGCTTTTGGAGGCCAGAAGATCCGAGATTGGGATCCATACGTACCCACAGGCCTGGAAAGCGTGTGTCTCTCTCTCTCTCTCTCTTTCCCCCCACCCACTGTGCTTTGGGCATGTAAGCATGCGGGTCCAAGAGTTGCCCCTCCGGGGCCGTCAGAAAAAAAAAAAACACCCGGGCTGCAAAACCACGAGGGGGGCGAGATCTCTGGGGCCCACCGATTGAAACCTTACCTCATCGCATGGTCTCCCTTGGGGGCCTTGGTGCTCCGCACGCTTTCCATATAGAGTCCGAGCTCGCGTGGTGGGTCTGGTCCACTCTGGTCTGTCCTCTCGGAATGGAGATTCGAGGCCGGGTTTATACACATCCATACTCAGGCAGCCCGTGTCCCAGTGCCCTGGGGGGCGGTGGACGTGGATAGATTTGGGCCCCACAGGGGCGCGAGTAGATTCATGCCCACCGCCTCTCGGGAGCCATGAAGGTCAGTCGCGCAGGTAGTGGATACCTGTGAACCCCTAACTGCGGAGAAGATCGCGTAGGTGGGTCTAATGTCAGCTTCGCTGGTCCAGAGCACGTGTCTGACCGCGGATCATCGAGGACCCCTTCCTCGTTTGCATGCCCGAGCGTTTCTTCGCCAGGCTCCTGGCATCCCGTACGGTTTCTTGGTCCCGTGCACGTGCACGCCAAGTACTCATGGAAAAGGCGCTCCTTTGCAAGTACGTCGGCTACGGCACCGCCTGATTCCGAGGCTTTGCCTCCTCCCGGCCTTGTTCTGAGGCTGCGCCCCCCTTTCCCCCCCCACCATCTCTGATTAATTCGAGCTTCGCGCGGTCCGCTTAGCTTCGACCGGAAGAGGTGCGCTCTCGACACGCGGATCAAACATGTGCACGCCAAGCTGGCCTCGCGATTGCGCAAGATGTGGTGGGAAAGCTCTGGGAGGTGCGAGCGCGGAGCGCGCCAGCTGCGGCGCTGGAGGCGCTGCCGGGGGAGCTGGGCGGGTGGCCCCCAGCGCCAGCCCAAGGCATCCGCGCGAGCCCACGAGGGTTGATGTGTATGTTGTTGTGTGTCCGCGTCCAGCGGTTTTTGTGCCCCCTCCTGGCCTTGACGTGAGGCCCCTCCTTTTCTGCCTTCCCCCCTCTGTTAATTGAAGCTGGGCGCGGCCCGCTTAGCTTCGACCGCAAGAGGTGCGCTCTCGACCCGCGAATCAAAAACACTGTGTCCAGCGGTTTGAATGATTGCGAAGCGGGGGGGGGGGATGTGAGGAAGGACGAAGAGATGCGCAGGAGGAAGGGACGGGAACGAGGAAGAGGACGTTGACGCGGAGGATCGAGGCGGAGCAAGAGGAGGGGGGGAGGAGGGGGAAGAGGATCGTTAATAATCACCGAGGCGGAGAAGGAGGATCGGGAAGGATGATCGAGGAGGAGTAGCAAGGAGCAGGGTGAGGAGGAGGAGCGAGGAGGAGGAGGAGGAGGAGGAGGAGGAGGAGGAGGAGGAGGAGGAGGAGGAGAGGAGGAGGAGGAGGAGGAGGAGGAGGAGCGAGGAGCGAGAGGAGGAGGAGGAGCGAGGTGGAGGAGGAGGAGCGAGCGAAGAGGACGAGGAGCGACGACGAAGAATGGTGAGGATGACGATGGGGAGCGTGCGAAGAGGAAGGGCACCAGGGAGGCAGGGAGAAAAGGAGGAGGAGGAGGAACAGGAGGAGGAGTTGGAGGAGGAGGAGGACCGAGCAGGAGAGTCGAGGAGGAGAGGAGGAGGAGGAGGAGGAGGAGGAAGGAGGAGGAGAAGAGAAGGAGGAGGAGGAGGAGGAAGAGAAGGAGGAGGAGGAGGAGGAGCAGGAGGAGGAGGAGAGGAGGAGGAGGAGGGAGGAGGAGGAGGAGGAGCGAGCGGCCCCGCGCCCTCCGCCAGGCGGGCGGCGACCGCACCGCGGCGGTCCTGGCGCACGCCGCCGGCCCGGCGCGGCGCGGCGCCCCGAACGGCCTCGCGCGCTCTCGCCGTCGACGCCGTCGCCGTCGCCGATCGATCGGTCGATCGAGGCTGGAGCATCGTGTCCGTGCTTCCTTCATCCTCCCTCCTGCTCCTCCTCCTCCTCCTCCTCCTCTCCTTCCTCCTTCTCCTTCCCCTCCTCCCCCTACGCTGGGCTCCTCCTCCTCCTCCTTCTCCTCCCTTCTCCCCCCTCTCCTTGCCCCTCCTCCTTCCTGCTGATCCCTCCTTTCTTCCTCCCTTCTCACTTTCCCTCTTTCTCCTCCCTGCTCCTCCCTTTTCCTCCCTCCTCCCCCCTCTCCCCCTCGTCCCTCCACCCTCCGCCCTTCTCCTCCCTTCTCATGCTTCTCCCTTTCTCTCCTTCTTCTCTCCTCCAACCCATTCTCTTTGAGGATGTGGCTCGTTGTCGGACAGGGATTGTCCGCAAGCTGCCCCACGGTCTCCATTACTTCGCCGATGACCCATTCTTCCCTCAAGATGGGGTCAGGCACCCGTTAAGCGTGTTGCGAGCTTGGTCATCCTCCTCTCTCCTCCTCCCGTCTTCGTCCGTGTTCTTCCCTGCTTCCTCCGTCCTCCTTTCTTCCTCCTCCCCCCTCCCACCAGGAGGCGCGAGGGTTGATATCATCAGTGTTACTTCAATAGGGACCGAGTTGGGGTTGATGGGCCGCAGGAGAAAGAACGGCACCAAGAGCAATCATTGGAGGTCCGCGCGGCCTTCTTGGGTTGGGCGCTGGGCGCCTCTGGCGCCGCCCCGGGCGCGCTCCGCACGGGAGGGAGGGGGGGCCAGCGCCGATCCAAGACATCCGCTCGGAGGAGGAGGAGGGCCTCTGAGAGTTTCTCTCCCTGCAAAGTTGCTCCCCTGCTGGAAATTAGCTTCGAGGTTCGAGGCGATGTTCCGCCTGTGGGCGCCCGCTTCGGGCTCCGGGCACCATCAAGAAGGAAGCAGGATAAATCCCCTGTGAGGGATTTGGGGGACAGGTTAGAGGCGGATGTCGGGCGCCCTCATCGCCGAGCCAAAAGTTCGGGCCGATTGGCTGTTTCGGTCCCATTGTTTTGTCCTGTCATTCCTGCCGCTGGAGGCAGTTTCCTAGACGAGATGTCAGCCAGTGTGGGCCCAAAACTGTACGTGATGGCATCGTGGAGGTGTAGGCTATGCGGTGTGAGCTATGTGGTGGCATCTACGTCGTGTAGCTATGTGGTGTGAGCTCTGGGGATGAGCGCTTCGCGGTGCAAGCTATGCTGTGTGAACCATGTGGTGTGAAGTGTGGCGGTGAAAACTATGCGGTGAAACCTACGTGGTGTAAGCTATGCCGTGTAAGCTGTGCGGTATGACATGGAGGTGAAACATATGTGGTGCCAGCTACGTGGGGTGAGCTGTGGAGGGAGGTGACTATTTTGCGCTGTAAGGTATGATATGCAAGCTAGGTTGTGTAAACTATGTGGTGTGAGCTGTGGCGGTGTAATCGATGTGGTGTAAGCTATGCCGTGTCAGCTGTGCGGTTTGGCGTTGAGGCGAAAGCTATGGGGTGCAAGCTACGTGACGTGATCCTGGAAATCCACGCTGACCTCGGAAAAGAGGGAGGATCATGGAGGAGGGAGGAGGGAGAAGTGCGGGGTGCAGCCGGACAGGAGTATAGCCCCCCGTGCCCTCCGCCAGGGAGCTTCGACTACGCAAACCTCGGCGGCTGGGGCGAGAGCCAGCTGAGCGGTGCGGACAACGTGACAGAGCAGGCGGCGGCAGGGCAGCGCGTAGACAGGGCCTAAGGGATCTTAGGATCGATCACCGAAGGAGTTGTCATCTCTTCGAGGGATCGAAGGATCGAGGGATGTATGAGGCGTTCCAAAAAAAGGCGCTGCCTTCGAGGATCGAAGGAGTTGTCATCTCTTCCTCGGTGGAAGGCGGCGGATGGGCGGCGGAAGGTCGGTGGAAGTATAACGAGGCTGCCCCCGCCGGCGGAAGCCGGCAGAAGCTCGGCGGAAGGCGACGGACAAACAAAAATGAGGTCGGCTGCGCTGACATTGGCGCGTAAGCTGCCCGCGCAAGGTCGCGCGTGAGTGCCCTCGTCTCCAAGGGAGCACGCCGCGCTGGCGGCCTGCGTAAGCCGCCGCGTAGGGCCCCCATGCCATCTCGCGTAAAACCCGAAATTGATCGTCGCCCATATGAGACTCGCACGGTTTCCCCGGCGGATGGATGGCGGCGGCAGGCTTCGGAGCGCTGGCAGGAGTACAGCGAGGGCGGCTGCGCCGGCGGAAACTGGCCAGAGCTGGGGAGAGTACCAAACATTATTTCGCCGGGGCTCGGCACAGGCGATCCGCTCGCGCGTCCCACATGCAAGAGGAGGGGAGAAAGAAGAGAGCTGGCCGCAAAGACAGAAGGTTGGCAAGAAGGCGCACTCACGCGGCGAGGCCGCGTGGGGCGCGCGGGGCGGCCACGCCGCAGGGCAGCCCTTGGCAGCGAGCGCGGGGCGGCGTCGCGGGCGCACCCAGGGGAGGAGCCGGCAGCCGCAGTGCAGGGCGGAAGTCAAACATGCAAGTCAAGAGATATCATCAACGTATTTATGGTTCCTGGAGCGGGTCATCCAGTTCCCTCCTCGCTCTTATTCCCTCGATTTGCCGGAGTGTCATTGTGGCATCGACCGCGCTCGTTGACGCTATTCATGCATGTTGGCTTCGATGACTCGAGAAGCATGTGGGCCGCTCACACCAGATGCGCGACATGTGCCTGGGGCACATCCGAACTATACCTAGACGTCGAGGGAGAGCACGGCCCAGAGGGGGAGGAGAAAGAAGTCGGGGGTAATGGCGACGACGGTGCTTTCGACGGCGAATGCAATGACGTAGTTCGTAGTTCTACGCGTTGTACTGCCTGTACCGACGCGGGTGCCACATTTGTCATATCGCATCATTCAAGCGCTGCCTTGAGCAGTACATGCGCCCCGTCGTGCACTCATGGGAGTAATTCGGAGAAGAACGAGCCGCGTAAACTCAAGCTTCCAGATGTCCGCGCGGATGTCTTGGACCGACGCTGGACCCGCCTTGCCCAGGCACGTTTCGTTCGTCGGGGGCGGCGCCGACGGCGCCGCCAGGAGGGTCCAGCACCGACCCAGTACATACATCTGCACCGCACATGCAGGTTCGTGCCGTTGTGTCCCATTCTAGCTATTTTGCTTGGGCGGCCCGACCATTGTTACGTCGGGCATGAGGAGGAATATTCAAGTTGAACATAGTCAGGTGACGATCCTTCGTGCTCGCTTGACTACGTTCGAGTATCATCGACTATGCTTTCATTTCGGGCGAAGAGAACTATGCACATGCACCGATCCTGGCAAGGCCCATCCTTGACCCAGGATCGGTGCATATGCCTTCCTGGCCAAGGCAGGAGGGCGTATGCACCGATCCTGGGCTCAGGATGGGTCTGGCCAGATTCGGTGCATGTGCATAGTTCTCTTTCCTCTATCATTCTTCTTCCAAGATCCACCTGTAGGAGGCCATGCCTGACCTCATTCAGGCTACTCCCCGATTGCTGACTGCTGCTGCCGCAATTTCGCACGGGGCTTCCTGCGCGAGCGCCCGACGCACACGCCGCAGGAGAGGGCATCGGCCATGCGGCGGCTGCGGCGGCCGGGCGCGGGGCCCTTTGGAGGGGCCGCGGGGGCGTATTGGGAGGAACGCCACCCTTTTTCAGCATGTGGTCGGCAATGCCTTCAGGTTTGACCCCGCGCCCGACGCACACGCCGCAGGAGAGGGCATCGGCCGTGCGGCGGCTGCGGCGGCCGGGCGCGGGGCTCTTTGGAGGGGCCGCGGGGGCGTGTTGGGAGGAGCGCCACCCTTTTTCAGCATGTGGCCGGCAATGCCTTCAGGTTTGACCCCCACACACACAAGATACCGCACCAGCGACCCTGCAAATACGACAACATGTGGGGGGCTGTTCCTTCGTCCGGCTTTCTTCCTTCCACGTTGTCCTTGTCGTTCTGCTCTGTGGGCTCCCGGAGCGTCTGGGGTATGAGTGCGTTCCGTGGAGCGCCTGGTGGCAGGCGGATTTCGAATGTGGCGCGCGTGCTGTATCAGCGGCTGGCGATTGCACGATGCGAGGTCACTTGCAGTAGTTCACTGCTCGCGTCCGAAATCTGCTCTGCCTTGCCCACTGCACCTCCCACGGGCTGGTTTGAACTCATGCACTCCGTCCCCCCTGCCAGTTGACATCGCAGCTGAGACCGGCTGCTGCCAGCGCCGTGGCGGCGTCCGACGAGTACCCCACGGGCTCGCAATCTGGGAAAAGGTTGGGGGGAGCTCCCCCACGGAGCGCGCGCCGAGCGCGCGCGAGCGGCCTCTTCAGCTCGCTGGGACGGGGGGGTCGATGTACCGTCCCGTTGCCAGGGGGAAAGGGGGGAGGTGCTGGTAGCGGGCGTTATCGCAAACAAAAAAAAGCCTTAGGGTTGCGTCGGTTTGGGGTGCAAGGGACGCCTCAAGCTTCCCGCCGGAGACCCCACCAGCCGTGTGCCCCCCATACGCCCCATACATGCGACGGCGTGCGCGCAATGGGACGGCACTGAACTCACCGACAGGAAAACTGCAACAGTGGAGACCCATGCCAAGACACACCCTGCGTGCCTCCAGGGTGCCCTGGGTTCCTTGGGCTTCGATGGCTCTGCTGTGGAAAGTGTGAGACGCTCCCACACCAAAAATCAATGGGCCCTTGTGAAGTCTCAGGTTTGGGTTTCTTGTGGAAGGTCTCTTGTGGTCGGGCCCCTGTGGCACCCGCCCTGCCCTCGGCACCGGCCCTGCCCTCGCCACGTCTCGCCGAGCCACGTGCTCGAGAAGCGGCTGTGCCGCGCAGGCGTGCAGGTGCGGGGAGGCGGGCGCCGCGGGTGCGGGGGGGCAGCCTGCGCCTTGCCGAGGTACGCTGGCATGCTGAGGGCGTTGGGCGTTGGCTTCGACACCCTCAAAGGCCTGGTCCTTTGTGTGTCTCTCTTCCTCTCTCGATCGATTCATATATATATATATATATATTTATGAGAGAGAGAGAGAGAGAGACATTTATGTATCTCTCTTTATATATATATATATATATACACTGTATGAGCCCCGGACGGACCCCGGACGGAGCCTCCCCCCCCCCTCAAACGAGTTTCGGCCTTCCCCGAAATTTTCGGGCGGTCCCAGAGGCGCCCCAGACGGCCCGAGACACTCCCAAGAGGGCTCCACGAGCGCTCCAAGACAGCCCAAGAGCGCTCCAAGAGACCCCAAGACCGCCCAAGACCGTCCAAGGGGGCCCCGAGACGCCCCAAGAGACCTCCAAGAGGCTTCCCAAGAGGGAAATGTCATTGATGTGTGTTTGGTTTTCAGAGGTTTCTCTGGTTCTCCCTTTTTCGGGCCAACATCAGCCCGGACCGGCCCAAGAGGCTCCAGAGATCGCCCCAAGATAGCCCAAGAGGCCCCCCAAAAAGCCCGAAAACGATCCAAGAGAGTCCCAAGACAGCCCAAGAGGGCTCCAAGACGGGCCCAAGAGAGCCCCAAGAGCGCCCAAAGAGGCACCCAAGAGGGCCCCAAGACGCCGCCAGGAGAGCCCCACGAAGGCCGAAGGCCTCCAGGACGCCCCAGGACGGCCCAAAAAGGCCCCGAGACGACCCAAGAGAACCCCAACAGGGCCCCAAAAGGCATCCAAAAGGGCCCCAAGAAGACTCCGAAGAGGCCCCAAAACGCTACATAACAGCCTTCCAATATTTCTTTTCCTCCATCCTTCTTCTCCCCGTCTCCCTTTTTCTCTTTCCCGTTATCCTCCTGTTCCTCCTCCTTCTCTGTTTACTCTCTGCTCCTCCTCCTCTCAGCCTCCTCCTCCTCGTTTTTGTCGCTCCTTCTTCTCCTCCTCTTCCTCCTCCTCCCCCTCCTCCTCCTGGTCCTCTTCATGTCCCTCTTCCCCACCCCGTCAAGATTCTAGCAAGACCAGTCGGCTGTATCCCATCTTCCCAGATAGTACTGAACGATGCCTCCTGGAAAGGCGGATGCGTTCGTGTGCCCTTCCTGCGCTCAATGTTTACCTCGAGACGCATTTTCCGACACCCAGTTGGACAAACCACTTCGCGTCCGAGCTTGCATTCAGTGTGTTCTTCAGGCCACGATTTGATTATCTCACAGACGCCGTACACCGCACAAACCGGACATGTACCTCATGTCGCGCCCCGCCCGAAGCGCAGACGTTCTTATGTTCGGGTTGCGGGCAGGAAAGGATGAGGGCGGGCAAGGATGCGGAATGGAAGACATTGTCAGATCGACAGCCACGAAAATGGCAACAAGGCGTTATCGATTTCCTTAACTATGTACAGATCTGTCTTCCCGCCTGCTTGCTCAACTTGAAGGACCATGATAGCGTGGCCACTTTCGCCTGATACCCTCGCACTTTCTAGTTGTGAGATGCCGGGGACAGCTGGCCAGGCCACTACCGCCTTGGATACGCATGTGCATGCGCACAGATAGTTACACATTCTATTCGCCTTTACGCGTACATACCCATACATACGTATATTTTATGTACATATGTAGTATGTTTCCATAGGGGCACGCGCGCGCATGCGCGCACGCACGCACCCCGCTAACGCGCGACGCGCTACAAGACCAAGGCGCATGGCGCGCCGCGCCGCTGTAGTCTTGTATGTATGTATGTATGTATTTGTATATATATTTATATATATATATACATACATACATATGTCGTGAGTTTCGGGAAAGCGGCGTCGGTTTCGGTTTCGCGTTCGCGTCGCGCGCGCGGGCGAGGCGAAGCTGCCTTGACGGGCGGGGGGACTGGCCCCGCCGTGGGTCGGGAGTGGCCCGCCAGTATCCCGTGGTGTCACGCGGTGTCCCGTGGCGCGGTGTCCCGTTGTGTCCCGCGGTGTCCCGCATTGCCCCGCGGCGTCGCGCGTCGCGGTGTCCCGCATTGCCCCGCGAGGTCGATAGATGGATCGATCGACAAATCGACGGCGCATCGTGCGTGGCCGCTGCCCGTCTTCACGCGCTGCCGACGCAGGACAGGTTCCCCCCCTGCAGCCCGCCGGTTTCCTGTCGGCCATGGGCGGCCAGTTTGTTTGGAGGCCGCACCTCAAGCTTCACTGCTGCCTGGTCGTGGATTCGACTACCACCCTGGGCCTCCTCTGCATCATCTGGTGGCACAACGTTGCTCATCGCCTTCGTGGTGCTCTTCTTCCTCCTGGGCGTCGACCTGGTCGCGTGGCGCGTCCTCCCCTGCAGTGCTTGAGGCTGGCGTTCGCGGACCGCCGTTGACGGCAACACCACTCCCTTCGCTTTCCGGGACTTCGCCCTCGGTTCCTGTCCAAGGCGTACCTTTCCCTGCACATCCACTTCGGCGCCGCCTGTTCCCCGGGCCCCGCCCGCTCCTGGCCGCCTGAGGCCCCGCCTTCCTGTGCCCTGTCTCCTTAATTAAAGCTGTGCGTAGCCCGCCTAGCTTTTAGCGGAAGAGGTTCGCTCTCGCCCCGCATATAAAAAGTGTATGATCGATCGGCAGAGGGAGATCGATCGCGAGATCGTTAGGTAGGTAGAGAGTGATATCGATAGGTTGATGGCCAAACAGGCGCTATGTGGTGCCCGACTGGTTTCTGCCGAACCCGATCCGACCCCAATCGCACACTGAAACATGAATTTCCCACCCCGCAAACCTCCTTGCCACCCGGTGTGTGGTCGCGTAGGTATATGTATAGGTATTGTTGTCCCTTCCGCTCTCTCTCTCTCTCTCTTTCCCTCTTGTGTGTGTGTGTTTTCAAATGTATTTCTCCGTATCGTTATCACGTGTTTCCTCTCTGTATATTTTTCCGGTCGTTTATCAATCGTGTCTCTCTCCTTCTTTCTATTTGTATGTATGTTCTCTTTCTTTCTTTCTCTCTCTCTCTCTCTCTCGCCCCTCCATTGATATATCGCCCCCCTCTCGTGCTATCAGCCCCTCCGCTTCCACACCTTTTTCTCGCTCTCGCACCGCTCGCAAAAGGCGTTTTTTTTCTGCGCCCGGCGTGGGTGCACAGGGTGATGAGACTGGTTAGTTGACTGGCTCCCTTTGTGCTGCCCGTGCTTGCCGCCAGTGCATCTCCTCTGCATGGCCTGCGCCCGCGACGGCTGCGCGATTCCGCGGGGGGCACCTGAGCCCGCTCCGACGACTGGGCACTTTTTTGATCATCCACAGCGCGCCCGAGAGGGAGGAGGAGGAGGAGGAGAACGAGGAGGAGGAGGAGGAGGAGGAGGAGCACTAGAGTGCAGCCCAAGGTGCATCAGCCATACTGCAGTCCCTAACCCCCGACATCAAGATTTGTTTCATGATGTCGACCCCGAGAGGGTTGGACTTTTTCCATGGGGCCACTTTTTCAGCCCGAGTCGTTTCTGGATCCCCGTCCCTGATTTCTGTCTCCATCGTGTCTACGAAAACGTTTTGCCTCACTCCGCGAAGCCACCCACTCGTGGAAGGCGAGCGCCCCGTTGGCGCGCCATTCTGGCGGGAGCTCCGTGTTGAAGGAACACGCTTCCCATGTCGAGCAAGAAGGATTGCGACATGGCGGGCAGGGCTAGACCTAAACGCTGTGTTGCTGGACATCGGCTGTGTTTTGTTTTCGTTTTGGGGAGGAGGTACAGGAACACAGGTAGAGCAACACGAACGAAAACAACACGAAAAACAGCGTTTAGGTCCAGACCTGATGGCGGGGTCTGAAATCGGAGAAGAAACAACGGCATGAGCATGAACTATTGGCGCTCCGCGCGGATGATGTCTTGGATCCGTGCTGGGCCCCCCAACGGCGCCTCGGGCGCCGCCCCTGGCGCGCTCCGCGCGCCAGGGACGGGGGTCCAGCGCAGATCGAAGAAATCCGCGCCGACGGCCAAACTTGCTTCTTCTTCTGATTGAAAGTTCAATGAGGGGCTAAGCGGCAGCTCCTGCTTTGAAAGAACCGCCCTCCATCCATGTAGGCTCTCCGCACCTTCGAACGTTCGGTCATCAAATATGACACGTCCCAGGCGAAGGTGCCATGTTGAAAAAGGAGTAGTATTGCATTTGTGTCACATATGACCTCTGAGCCCTAACACACATGTGGCGGGATTGTGTTTGGAGAGTCCCGGGCGAGAGCCCTACTTTGATATCGTTCAAGCTCCCAACAGTGCAATTGCTGCAAATGTTTAACAGGACAGCGCGCGGTGCTCAAGGCAAGAGCCTCTTGTTGTACGACTGGCCTTCCATCCGAGCACAGTATACGACTACCACCACCAAGATCGATAATCATCTACGATGCGTTTTGGTGCAGTTTTGTTCTGAAGTGCTGTTTCTGTTTCAGGAACTCCCCATGCCACGGCGCCTGCGAGCTGCGCCGCGCTCCTTTTCGCCGTGGCGTCGCAGCGTCGTCCAGCATGACCCTGCCCCTAACCCTTTCTGCGGTAAATTACTGTTGCGGGTGGTGGTGGTATATACAAGTTGGCCTCGCATTCCATGTGAGAAGTTGGGTCTACGGAGACGTCTGGGTGGTGCCACAGCAGGGAGGAGTTATCTATATATAAAAGAGGTAGTGGGAGGAGGAGGAGGAGGAGGAGGAGGAGGGAGAAGAGGAGGAGGAGGAGGGAGAAGAGGAGGAGGAGGAGGAGGACAGCACACGCTGAGGGCCCACTCGCCGGCTCACTCCACACCGTTTCCATCCCTCGTTGGTCATCGTTCCTCATCCCCCTCCGCCCCCTATTTCGCCGCAGCCGCTCCCGAAAAGCGCTGGCGGAGATCACTGGCGCTATCGTAGCTTTCACTCCTCCCCCTCCTATTCCCTCCTCCTGGTCGCTGCGACTGCCTCTCACTTTCCTCCTCCTCCTCCTCGTCCCACGCTTGACTGCGACTGCCGCGGTTGTTCTCCTCAGCACAAGTGGAGATCGAATGTCATTGTTCTCCTCAGCACTGGCGGGAAGCGTCTCCTTACAAGTTGGGGAATCCCATCTCCCTCCCCATCCCCCTTCCATCCCCGTTCCTGTTTCTGCTTCCCCCGTTGTCGTGCTCTGGCTCTGCACTCTGCACAGGCGCACTGTGCGAAAATGGTCAGGGCGTATTAAGTTTGGTATTGTTTAGCGGGGTTGGGCATGGGAAGTTGCATCTTTAAAACCTTGCGTGGAGCGTGTTAGCGCCCAGCCAATCTGAGACGGCCAACTTCAAGGCATTGACCTACCTGCCCAAAGTCGGGTAAACTGCTTGTCAAATGGGTTTCCCAGTCTGACCCGGTATGTGCTTCGGTGGAGGCCTCTTCGATGCGCCTCCCTCCCAGACGCAGTCAGCACAGAGTTCTCTCGATCTGTACCTTCTTTCAAAGATGTTGGCACATAATTAGCGTGTTTGCGTGTTGCCAGTGTTCTTTTAGCGGAAGAGGTTCGCTCTCGCCCCGCAGATCAAAAAGTGTGTTGCCAGTTTTGTTGTTTTTCTCCCAGCGTTCGGGCTAGAAGCATGCCGTTGGTTAAGACACATTGCATTTTGGCACAAGCCAGTGGCAAGGTTGCGCCAGGATGCACATAAGAAAGTTGTCTTTGCCACCAGCAGGGTCGGTAGCACGCGGGCGGTTGGCCACGGCAAGAGCGATCACCACGAGGGGTCATCCCACCGCCGCGCTTTCGGCATGATGAGATGCTTGAACATTGATTCGGGGGCCCCAGAACCGCGATGTGACGGACCGCGAGGTGATTTCAGATTCCCCAACGACTTCACCGCGCGGTCCGTCACCGTATACGGTTTTGAAACCTCTTAGGCCCCAGTCGCCCGAGACGTCTGCGGAGAACTACCCGAGTCCGAAAGCCTTGCGGTGATTCCGAATCCCTTTTGGCTCATCAAACGGCGTGGTCACCATATTGTCTGGGGGCCCCGATTGATGGCACTCCACATGTTCTCCTGGCGATTGTCTCGGGACGATCACGACGATGACGATGAACATGAGAAGAGGGCACCCCGAGGCGCATCGCACGACCTCAAGGCAGCCATCAGGAACTCCCAGCACCTCAAATTGCAGGAGGCGCAAGATGCACTGCAAGCCGAGGTCGATGACGGCCCAGGGAACGACACTACTCCTGAAGTCACTTCGCCTCCGAAGGACTGCCGCCGACGTGTGATTTCTATTTCGTATCTGGTGAATTTCGGCTCTGGGCAGCTGCCCGGCGAGGGCGGTCAGAGTGGTTGGGGCAGATATTGTTCGTCGGTGCAGGCGGGGGCGGTTCGGGCCAGGGCAGGCGAGAGAGATGAAGATGTAGCGAGAGATTGGGAGAGAGAGAGAGAGAGAGAGAGAGAGCGAGAACAAAAGGTAGGAGACGGAGGGAGAGAAATGGAGAGAGACGGAGTAGGAGAAGAGAAATACATATATATATATATATATATATATGTAGAGAGAGAGAGAGAGAGAAAGAGAGAGAGAACAAACAAAAATAGTGAGAGAGGGAGGTGGAGCGGAGGAATTCTTCGCGCTTCGCGTATCCCTACCAGCTGGTACCACCTGCCTGGGCTAGGTCGGCCGCGCGGACTGGCGCCAGCAGGGCGACTCTCCGCTCCTGAATGTAGAGCATTTTGCTTATTGCACGTGCGTTTGCTTTCATTGCATGTCCTACTGCAGTTTCTTCTGCTGTAGTTATGCGAGCTGGCTCGCCGACGCTGGCGGCCGTGTTCGCAAATTCGCACCGTTCCGCCGCCCCGGGCGTCGCTCCCGCTCCCTGGCGGTCGCCTTGGAGCCGCTAACCAAAAAAGTATCCCCACCAGCCCACTCAGAAATGTTGCCCATGAGAGTTGACAGGAAAATTGACGAAGAGGCGCATATAGTAAAACGAAGCGGGCAACCGGCATGAACAGAGAGACTTCTGGTTATTCGGGCCGTCCCTGGGGCCCGCGGGGGGGCGTGGGGAGGAGGAGGAGGAGGAGGAGGAGGAGGAGGAGGAGGAGGAGGAGGACCAGTGTTAAACCCTGGACTCATCAAAGATATTGCCATGAACCCTGTACAAGGGTTCACTTTCACTGATGGAAGTGCCCCTCTGGAAGACAACGGCATGAAAATGTGGAACACCGCCGGAACACCCTTCTTGGGACTTCAACGCTGCGAATCAACGTACTTGCTGCGTCTTGGCGATCCTGAATCGCGCATGGACGCTATCCTGGGGACTCCAGCGCCGCGAGTCAACGTGATTGCTGCGCCCTGACATCCCGACATCGTTCCAAAACACCGTTATTGGGACGCTAGCCATGATAATTTTTTCAAAGTCTGCAAATTCTTAAGACGAGTGTGCCCAGCGCTCAGGTGAAAGACACATTTTGAAGAGGAGTTGCCCTCCATTCGTGAAGCTCCTCCAATATTGTAAAACGAATGTGCGCGGCGCGCAGGCGAGAGTCACAGTTTGAAAGCGATCCGCCTCCATCCGTAAAGCCCTTGCAACATTCAAAACCGATTGTGCGCGGCGCGTAGGCGAGAGCCACATATTGAAAACGGCCCGCCCTCCATCCGTGATGCTCGTGCAAGCCTTCAATCCGAAGGTGCGCGGCGCTGAGCCGAGAGCCACATTTTGAAAACGACCCGCCCTCCATCCATGAAGCTTTTGCAAAGTTTCAAGACGAATGTGCGCGGCGCTGAGGCCAAGCCACATTTTGAAAGCGACTCTCCCTCCATCCGTGAAGCTGAGGCAAAGGTTAGCTTCAGGACAATAAAGGGTGAGGAAGTCTCAAACGAAACGCCTGGTCCGCCCTTTCTACCGGCCTCAGGGTGCGACAGGGAGGAGCTATTTATTAGGAAGAGGGATGGAGAAGGAGGGGGAGGAGGAGGAGGAGGAGGAGACAACCCGTCTCTTGGGGCCTTCGTGGGACGTTCTTTGGGCGCTCTTGGGCGTTCTTGGGGCCGTCTTGGGGCTGTCTTGGGGCCGTCTTGGATCCTTATTGGGGCTCTCTTGGGGCTCTCTGGAGGCCCTCTTGGGAGCCCTGGAGGGCATCTTGGGGCTATTGTGGAGGGCGTCGGTGAAAAGACAGGGGTCCTAACGTTTGGTGTCCTCTCTGGGGCCCTCGAAGTCGCCCCTTGGAGGTGCATCGGAAGCGAAAAGGCGATACATTATTGATGTTCCTGTTGCTTTTGAAAGATTTGGGGCTCCAGAGGCGCTCCGAGAGCACTTTCAACCGTCTTGTGGACCTATTCGGGCTTATTTATGGTATGTCGGAAGCTACATCCCCAGGCCGAATGTTTTTTCCCCTTGGACTAAAAATGTCAGATCTTGGACTAAAAATGTGAGAACATCAGCGGATCCAATTGGATCCCTTTTCGGGTGTGGGAGAGTTTCGTGGATCCTATTTCTGTGCTGCGCGGATCCAATGTCCTGCGTTTGAAAAAAACGATGGATCCATTGATTCCCCGGGAATCTAATAATAATTAACATCCGGGACCCAGGGGAAATGGGATCCGCGGAGCACCGCAAGCGAAGCATCATGCTATCCACGGAGCTGTGGATCTGCAGGCCAATGCTATGATTCTACGGGGGATGGGGGTCTTCCCAGGATGAAGAGGGGAAGGATGAGGGAAGAGGCAAGAGGAGGTGGGAGGAGAACAGAAGGGATCGGCGCGTCGCTTCCGACATGTGGGGTCAAGAGGAAAATCTTTCGGCTTGCGGAAGTATCTTGGTCCATCTTCGGCTATCTTGAGCCGCTTTGAAGGCAGTTTTGAAGTTCAGAAAGCCCTCTTGGAGCCATCTTGGGCGAACAAGGATCCCCTGACACATTGCGAATCCCCCCAACAAAAGCCTCAGCGAGGGGAGGTTCGAAGGTACCCCTCCCCGAAGGGAAGAGGGTTTTGGAATATGGGAGAGATATCGCTGGAGCACCTCAGCCCAGAGGGCTGGTGGGATATATATATATATAGAGAGAGAGAGAGAGAGAGAAAGAGAGAGAGAGAGAAAAAAAAAAAATCAACTCCCACATCGCAGAGGAATCATGCAGTGAGGTTACCAAGTGTGGTCTTCTGCAACAGGGGGCTCGCAGAGGAGGTCACCAGCTAGCGGTGCAGACAATTCCAGGTGAATTGCGGTGCGGGCCCGTGTGCGCTGCCGCACTGTCCCAGATCTGGCGAGCGATTGGAGAGCATAGGTCGTGTGCGGCCTGCCAGTCACCCAGGCGCGTCGAGAAAAATCAGAAAAATCAGAACGGAGGAGGTTTCTGCAGTTTTCGGCCTCCGGGGGGCTCTCGCTGGCCCGCCCCCCAGGACTCTCACAACGCGCCGGGATGAGAAACCGGTCCCGATGACGGGGACCAGACCTCTGGGGAGCCATGTTGTGACACACAGAAAACACGACGGCGGGGGTCTGGGGAAGGAAGTTCCAGTCTCGCGAGCCGTCCGGGAGAAGGTTGGGGCCGGCGAGGCGGGGGCCAAGCGGGCATTGCGGGCATTGCAGCAGGTGCCGCATGGTGCCGGCAGACCCGATCCGTTGAGGCGATGCGTTGTCCCACAGCAGCCAGCGGCAATTGAAGCACTGGGGAGGCTCATAGTTGGGGCGCCGAAGCTGGGATTTGAGGGGGAAGCTGGAGAGGATCAGTGTCTTGCCAATTCCTTCGGCAACAGCTTCGACGACGAACGGCTTCGGAGTCTTGGCCTGTCTTGGCTCAAGCACTGGGAAGATGGATACGTCTGATGTGGCTGGCCTGGGCAAGAGTTGGACTGCCATGTTGCAGCATGTCTTTCCAGCGCTCGGCCCTTGTATGGTCAGGCACGCTGGCCTTTCACATGCGCACCCAGCAAGTGACGTCCGTATGTCCCACATCCGAATCCATCCAGGTGTGCTTCCACCGTCCTGGCCGTTGTGAACCCCTCTTCCGACGTCGCGCTTCGTTCGTGACGTCGGCCCCAGGGATCTCCACCCCTTACCCTCGGACAGGCCTTACATCCTGAGTCGACTTTTTAACGGTTTGGGGGCCCGCTGAGGGCCCCCAGATGCTCAAAAATTGCGGTGCAATTTCGGGAGACCTCGTCTGTCCTGTAAATTGTTGTCTTTTTCTCTGGGATAGGGCACGCATAGACACGCTATCCACTTCGCGGTCCCCAGGCGTCAACGTCCCGAGCCTTTCCCAGCCTCCCGCCCCGCGGAGCGGAGCGACACGCTATCCGCTTGTGAGGCGTAGCTTGTCGCTAGGGCTGCCGCGGCGACTTTTTTGGTTGGCGGCCGCTTGACTCAAGCAGCGTTCGAGCGACCGAGGGGCGCTCCTGAGGCGAAGCGGGGCACTAATGCAGAGGCGGCGGGAGGCGGAGGGGGCGCGGGGGCTCAGGAGACCGCGCCCAGAACACATACAGTCCTTGTGTGCAAGTGCCGGAGGTGCGCACAGCGAAGCGGAAATCCTGGCAGGGCCGGAACGCGAAGCCTGGCCGCCGCGGCGACACGCTGAGCAAAAGCTCCCGACCGTGCCCCCCCTCTCTATACGGAAGGCTCCTGTGGCGATGGCGCGCCGCCGACGCCGGCGAAGGTGTTCAGGGCTGAGCCCTGCGACGCGGGAGCACCGAGGGACACGGTGATGCCACCAGACCCTCTGGAATTCAACCTCGAACGATCGGGGCCGCGGTGGAAGCACCCAGGGACCCGATGGCGCCACCAGACCCGACGGAATTCGGCCTCGAACGATCGGAGCCGCGATCGGTTCAAGGCCGAGCGATCGACGTGGCGCCAAAATAGCCAAAGTGGCGAGGTGGCGGCATGCGGGCCGCGGTACCGGGGCCTTCGGTGGAGCTCCCTATGGGGCCACAACGCTGTACTGAGTGCGTCGAATCAGAGACATGCGGAGGGCGGAGGCAGGAAGGGGGAGGAGAGAGGACGGGGGAGGAGGAAGGAGCCAGGAGGAGGGGAACGCGGGGCGATGCCTCTTCAAACCCATACCCCCGACGTCGCGATTTTTTCTCAGCGTCGACCCCCAGAGAAGTCTGGACCCCTTCCTGGGGACCAGTTTTTCATCCCGAGGCGTCTTGCGACGGTCCCGCGGCCGCGGAGGGGCACCCCCGGAGGCCCTCCATGGCGAAACCCCTCCCGCCGCGCTGCTTTCTTCACCCCGCGAAGCTGCCTGGGACCACGAGGACCCCGCACCACAGGGCTGCTTGGGCACAGCCACCCTCTGCACGCGCGCCTTGACGCCGCACGCGCCGGCCGCACCCGAAGGGCCCCGGGGCGGCCTCGGCCGCGGCCCCCCCGCCGCGGAGGAGCCCCGCGCTGCGGGCGCCGCGCCGCCCGCCGCGCCCGCCGCCCCGCGCGGGCCGGCGGGCGCGGCCGCGGCCGAGCACGGGCGCGCCTCGGAGGACGCCGCGCTGCCGCCGCTCGCGCCGGCTTCCCGCCCTTGCTCGCCTCCCACCGAGCCACCCCAAAACCCAACCCGAAGGCTCAGGTTTGCCCTCGATTTCCAGTGCGGGGGGATCGGGAAACATCACATGTGGAACCCTTACCCCCCCCCCCCAACCCGAGATTCGGGTCTTCGGGTTGGGTTGGGGTGGTCTGGTAGGTAGTCAGCCCCCCTCTCGCCTCCTATTCCCTCGGGGTGCCCTTCTAAACGGGGTGGTGACCACAGCGTGCGGTGAGTCGGTGGGGACTCCTGGTCACCGCAGGGTTTTGGGACTCGGGTCGTTCTCCGAGGGCGTCTCGGGCGGCAGGGGCCTCCGGGGTCCCAAGACCGTGCGGTGACGGATCGTGCAGTGAGGTCTTGGGGGATTTCGAGTTGACCGCACGGTCTGTCACCGCACCGTTTCGGGACTCCAAAGTCCCAGACCCCCATCGAGGAAGGAACAAAATCGTGACGGGAGGTTTGTCGCCACTTTCGGCCCCTGGGGGCCCTCACCGGGCCTCGGGGCCGTCAGAAGACGACTCGGGATGAAACGTCGATCCCGGGGAGTAGGTCGAGACCTCGGGGGGTCGACGTAATGAAAAAGCCATTGCATCGGGGGTCTGGGTCTCCAGGCCTTCTAGATGGGGTCCGAGCAGATGGGGTCGGAGGTTCGCGCCATGTCGCCGATGCATCGGCGATGCGGCTCGATGTGGGGCCCGATTTTCTCCACGCTGGCGTCGCCGATGCATCGCCGAGGTCGCCGATGCAACGTCGACGTATCCCCGATGTATCGGCGATGCGGCGCGATCCTCCGGCCCCATCTGCTCGGACCCCATCCGGGAGGCATCTATTCTCCCAGATCAGAGCTCAAGGGACGGGGGTCCATGCAGACGGGGGTCCGTCAGAGCGCCGGATCTTGCAGGATCCTGCAGGGCCAGGGTCGCATCGCCCCGTGCTCGGGTGCAGGATCCTGCGGGATCCTGCAGGATCCTGCGTAGCCTGACTGACCCGGGTCTGGATTGACCCGAGTCAGTAGATCCCCGACCAGACCCCGTCGAGTCATACAAAACTCACGACGGGGGGGGGTCGCTGTTTTCGACCTTTTTGGGAGCCCCCCTTGCGGGGCCCAGGGGCCGTCAAGAAAAAGACGATTCGGGAGTACAGGCCGGTCCCAGGGGTGTCGGCGTCATGACAAAATAATGATGTCGGGAGCTTCGGTTTCTCGGGGAAACGTAAGCGAGGACAGCACAACCTACCCCCACCCCCAGCCACGACCCCCACTCCCGACCTGGTGATCCAGGGGGTCCCTCCTGCTGGTAGTGAGGGTCGCCAGCCTTGACCCCTGGATCATTAGGTTGGGAGTGGGAGTTAAGCTGGGGGTGGGGGTGGGCTGTCCCGAGTCTTACGTCTCCCCGATCTTAGGTGGCCCGACGCTGGTTTCCGCCAGCGAGGGTGGGGGGTGCGGGGGGAGGTTGGAGGCTCTGGGTTCGAGAAGGCTTTCTCGTTTTCAGTATCAGGAGGGGTGGGGGGGGCGTTTTCGGGCCCCGGGACCGTCAGAGACGGATCTTGGGGGGAAAACCGCACCAGACGGACCCCGGGAGGGGTTGGGGTATTGATTTTGAGCGAATTTGCCCTTCACCCCCGTCTGGAACGATTCCTCCTGGGGTCCATCCAGCTCAGAACCCCCTGGCTGTCTCCAACGCCGACCCCCCACCCTTCAGTCGGGCCGCTGAAGAAGGAACCCTTTTCGTTGGGCAGGGGCTCAGTGTTCCTAGAGTGTTTTAGAGCTTGTCTTAGAATTCCCTTTGGTTTTCCGATGGGACATCGTACGGAAAAAAGGACCCTCGGTCCCTATTGAGGGCTCCTTATGGCAGTGCTTCGATTGTGCTTTTCGTGCAGTGCCCAGAACCCGGACCCCCGACGCCAAGATGGTTTCACAACGTCGACCCCCATAGGTCTGGACCCCTTCCCCGGGGACCGGTTTTTTATCCTGGGTCGTTCTTTGACAGCCCCGAGGTCCGGGAAGGGCCCCCGGAGGCCGAAAATAGCGAAACACCTCCCGTCGTGATGCTTGTCACAACGCGAGGGGGTTGTTCTGGGAGGGAGGGTCGCCACCAGCGGGGTCACCGGCCCCTCCCGCGGGGGAGCGAGGCCCTCCAGGAGCGCAGCGCTCGAGGCGGCGTCTGGGGGCGCCCGGGGGCCGCCGCCCGCGGGAGGGGGTCTGCTTGGGGGTGCTCTTCTGCCGGGGGCCCGCTGCCTCGAGGCGGCGGCGTCTCCTCGAGGGCGTGGCGACCCCTTGGGTCGACCAGAACAGCAAGCGACACCACCCTGCTCCTCCCTCCTCGTCCTCCTCCTCCTCCTCCTCCTCCTCCTCCTCCTCCTCCCCCCTCCTCCCGATTTACTCTGGCCCAACAAGTTGCGCTACGGCCCATCGGGGGACGTAGCGCAGACCACACAGAAACCCGCGCCAGATGTCTTGATATACACTCATTCCCTTGGGGCCGTACAGTGAAGACCCATGCCGCGAATCGCCTCGCTTGTTCCGTAGCCATGTTGGCTCAAGTCGTTTGGCTTCGAGCTTACACTGTCTTGGCCGACCCCCCCTCGCGCCGCACCGCGCCACCTCGATCCTTGCGCTCGATGGCGCTCCCGAGGCTCCTCGCGCTGGCCCTGCTGCTGGTCCCGGGAGCGGCCTCCGGCGAGGCCCCGGCGGGCGCGTGCGAGGCCGCAGGCGAGTGCGAAGACGCCGCGCTCCTGCAGCAGCGCCCCAGCAGTTTCAAGGTGTGCCCAGGTCGTGGCTGCGCTCAGGCGTGTGAGAGCTGGAATAATAAGTATTATGTATGTGTCTTTCGTTGTAATTTCAACCGATGCGAGTGTGTCACGCAGGGGTATTTACGGCCATGGGCCTGGGAACGTCCACCCTCAGGGTGCCTGTGCTCATGGGCAGCCGGCCGTTTGGCTACGGTCTCGGCGGGCCGCTTGTCCCGATCAGCGCCTGTGTTCGTTGTAGCACAGATATGGTATTACGGGCGTATGTCAGGGTTTTACAGCAGTTCCCCGTAATGGAGAACTTGGATGACGCATTTGCATAGGATTGTTTTGCATGAAATTTGTTGAGCGAGCGTTATAGCTCCGACTGCACCCCTTTCATGAAAGCCCTGTCTGCTTGCGGGCAGCGATGGCGTTCGCCGCGAATCACGTGAGCACCTGCGCGCACGTATATCACGAGCATCGTCGGCCGCGGAGTTCCGCTGCGGTCATTTTAAGCATGCTGGTCCCGCCTCCCTGTCCGCATTTTCGTTGTTGGCGTTACCTCATCGAGCTATTAAGGACCCCCCCCCTCGGGGTTACCATTAGCACCGCACACTAATGCAATAATTCTGGGGTGCGGTTTTCGCCGAGAGATATAGTTAGCACCGCACAAATGAGCGAGCATAGAAAATTCCCGCGCCCTGGCTCGGGTGATATCCCAACTGGAATTGGAATAAGAATAATATGACAACGGAAATGCGAGTAATAAAAATAATGATAATACGATTAATGTTAACCAGAATTAATAGCACAAAGCATAAGAGCAACGATACGAGTAAGAGTGATACTATCAATAGTAATGATAAGAACTGTGATAAGAGTAGGAGCACCAATAATAGTAAGAAGCATAATCCGAATCCGAATAAGAATACGGAAAATCAGAGCGATAATCATCATAAAAATAATATTCGTAATAATAATAATAATCCGAATCATAGTCAGAATGAGAACAAGAGTTTGTTCTCGCATTATCTTCGCCATCCTTGTCATATACGACGCGCATTGCCACCCCTGTTGAAAACGTGATTTTTCCCGGCCGTCGCGCGGGGTCGCGCGTCCGAGGATATCGCCCCCGCCACGCACGGCGCATTATCTCACCACCACACCCGCGCAAGATAATTACAACAGCTCGTCCAACAAAAAGACAAGAAGCACAATGAGACCAATAATCATAATAATAATACGAGTAAGATCAATACTACGAACAGTTAAAGTAGGAACAAGAAGAATAATGGCAATAATAGTAAGAGGGAAACGAATAATCAGAAAATGGATTGAGAGTATGAGTAAGAATTATAATACGAGTAACAATAGGAGTATCAATGATACTATTAAGAATCACAATCATAATAAGGATATGGGTAACAATATTTATCAGAGTAAGACTGCGACTAATAATAATAAGAAACATAATGATCGGAATAACAAGAATAAGAATAATTATAACAATAATGATAGGAGTTAGAGTGTTACTAATAATACGAGTAATCGCTAAGGTAATAATAATATTATCAACCACGATAAGAATCATTTTCCGACTCACAATAATGAGACACATGAGAAAATAAATTGGTTAATACTAATAATCATAAGCGTAATAATAGTATTCACAATTATAGCAATAGTACGAATCAGAATTATAATCCGAATAGTAAGCATATCAAGAATAAGAAATAGTTTGGCCTCATTATCTTCATCACCCTTGTCTTGTACGATTTGTATTACCACCCCTGTTGAAACATTGGTTTTTCTATGCCGTCGTGTGGGGTAGTGCATCCGAGGATATCGTTCTCGCCTCGCACGGCGCGTTATCTTAGCACCCGCACCGCCAAACATATTCTTCCCCATGGTAGGCACGGACGGTTCCTTTCCAAAGCTGGACCCCCCTTGCGGGGGACCTAATGTTGTTATTGTTGGTGTTGGCGTTGTTGGTGTTTTTGATGTTGATGTTGCTGTTGGTGTTGTTATTGGCCTTGTTGTTCTAGATATAAGTCTTATTGCTGATTGTCGTTTTTCGTGTTGGTGCCGTGCCGTAAGGGAGTATTGAGGAGGAGGAGGACTTGTTTTGTTTAGCTGGGCCAAGGCCTCTTGACTGAGGCCTTGGCCCTCGGCTTGATCCGTAATTACGAATAAAAGCCAACTTATTGCGAGAATATATCAGGCGGTGTGCTTGTTTCGGCGAGCATACTCGTATGCGTGCACATAAAGATGCGAGGTGCCAGGGTAACGTTTCTGGGGTGCCGGGTGCGTTATATGTTCGCCGGAGGAGGGGGGGTCTTAATTGCTTCTCCGGGTTAATTGCAGCGAGACTCCGCACCTGGCGACTGCACTGGGAGCGGTTCGGGACAAGATGTGTTGCGCAATGCATGTGCAATCGCCTCAGCTGGTCGTTGCGGCATAAAAAGTGTATATCATGTTGGGAGGCCCCCACATGTGGACGCCAAGCCGCATAGCCGCGCTTTGCATCACCAGCTCGTCTTTTAGCTGCCGCGCGCCAGGCAGGTCGTGGCAGGCTTTGCCCCGGCCGTGCACGTTCTGCCGCAAACTTTGCGGACAAAAACGAATCACCTTGCTTGTCTCTGGGGTGCCCTGGGTTTTTCTGGTTTCGATGGTTGTGCAGTGGAAGACGTGACATTTCCATACCAAACATCAATGGACGTCCTGGGTTCTCAGGGTTGGATTTCTTGTGGAAGGTTTCTTGTGGACTGGCTTGCACTGTACGGCCCATCGGGGGCCGTAGCGTAGACCACGCAGAGACCCGCGTCAGATTTCCTGGTGATGCGCTCCTCCCCGTAGGGGCCGTAGGTGGGGTGGTGTCGTTCGTTTTCTGGCCCACACGAGAAATTCTTTCACGTCTCAGCGTTTTCCCCTCCGTCCCCCCGCGCGGCCGTTCTCGTTTTTCTCCCCCCTTCTTGCGCGCCGGTCAATTAGCCTCTCGATTGCCTCGAATGGTCACGCGTTGGAGCGGACCGCGTCTGCCTCGCCGGCGACGAAAAAAGTTCTCTGGCCCACTTAGTGATGGCCGCGGCCCTCGGCGAAACAGCCAGCGGGAGGCCGGCGCGCAGGTGGCGCGGCGCCAGAGGTCCGCGGGCGGAAGCCTGGTGGAAGGCCCCACTGCTTGATACCCTGGCGATCCCTCCTCCTCCTCCTCCTCCTCCTCCTCCTCCTGCTCCTCCTCCTCCTCCTGTTTCCTCGTTCCCGTCCTCCTCCTCCTCCTCCTCCCCCTCCTGCTCCTCCTTCTCCTCTTCCCTCCTTCCTTCCTCCTCCTCCTCTTCCTCGCCCTCCTCCTCCTCCTCGTCGTCCTCCTCCTCCTCCTCCTCCTCCTGTGGGCGCGCCCTCTGGGGCGCCAGCCGGCGCAAAATGGGCTGGCGACCAGGGGCGGGGGGGTGTGACGTCACGATTCGCGCCGGCTCGTCTGGGAATGCCTGGGGCGGGTTTTTCCAGACGGCGCCGGCTTCGAATCGCCACGTCACCAGCTAGGGAAGAGGGGATGGGGCAGGGCCGTCGACGGGCGTGATCGCAAATTGGAAACATTGCTCTGTGGGCTGAAGGCCAGACGTCAGCATCTCAGGATGCGGGGCTGTCAGAGGGTACCGCGCGGCCGCCGAGCGGGGCGGCAGCCTTCGCCCGCGAAGCGCCCCCGCGACACCCCACTGGCAGCCTCAAATCTCCTTTCAGTTCGGCGGTTTGTCCCGGACCTCGGTCTGGAATGGACAAGGAAGGAAAATGAAATGGGCGGGGACGTCCAGGAGGGGGAGAATGACTAGGTGTAGGTGTGTGTCTGTGTGTGTGTGTGCGCGTGCGCGTGCGCGTGCGCGTGCGTGCGTGCGTGCGTGCGTGTGTGTGTGTGTGTTGTGTGTGTGTATGAGTGAGTGGCTGAGTGAGTGAGTGAGTGAATGAGTGAGTGAGTGAGTGAATGAGTGTGTGTGTGTGTATGTGCGTGTGCGTGTGCGTGTGCGTGTGCGTGTGCGTGCGCGTGCGTTCGTGCGTGCGTGTGTGCGTGTGTGTGTTTTGTGTGGGTGAGTGGGTGCGCGCGGGCGTGTGAGTGTGTGTGTACGTGCGTGTGTGTGTGTACGTGCGTGGGTGTACGTGCGTGCGTGCGTGTGTGTGTGTGTGTGTTGTGTGTTGTGTGTGTGGATGTTATGGCCGCGCCTGTGAAATCTCCGGGACTTCCTGCCGCTCCCCCTCTTCTCTCAGGACGCCCACCGGCCCCTCCTTCGTCCGCGCGCGTGCCTCGGGCCGCGGTGCGCCCCGGCCCCCGCGTTTCCTGACCGCCCCTGCCTGGCGCACCCGGCGTCCTGGAGATTTGACGCGGGATGCCAACATCGCGAGACAGCACGGCCAGAGCCCTGGACCGCGAGGGTACACAAATCCCCTCGGGTTGAACAGCACCCTCGATGTATATATATATATATATATATATATATATATATATATATGTATGTATGTACGTATATATATATATATAACACGTTCGCTTGTTGTCGTAACTTCGGGTTTGTGTTAAACCCTCTCTCACATTCGTGCTGCGGTGTGGATCGTAAGCGCGCCTCCTCTCCGCCACCGTCGATGTCGCCCACGCCTTCGTGGCCGTGGTGCGCGTTGCTCTGCTCGGGACCCGCTTCGCTTTTGGAGCGCATGACCACTGCCACCCTGCCCCCAGCACTCCTCACTCTTTTCTCCGTGTCTTCGGGCGCTTTTCGCGTCGCCCACGCCAGGGGGATGCCGATCCCCCCGTGGTCTCTCCTTCGTTTCCGATCTTGCCCCGGGGCCCCGTCCGAAGACGGGGAGTTCCCACCAACCACGCGCGTCGGGCCGCAGAGCGCGAGTGACGCAGAAGGACGGCTGGTTCCGAGCTGTCAACCCATGCCCCCCCCCCCCCCGGTTGGGGTCTGGGGTCTGGGGGGGGGAGAGGGGGGGGGGCGCGGGAGGAGGGTGGTGCGGCGAGAGGGAGCCAGAGCAGGAGCTCGAGGGAGACGAGGGACGAGGAGGAGCAGGACGATCGGAGGAGTTTGGAGGAGCACGCGGAGGGAGGAGCGGCCAGCAGCACGAGGAGTACTACGTCGGCGGGGGGAGAAGGGGGAAGAGTGGGGGGGAGCAGCACGCGCCTCAAGCTCGAGTCTCCTCTGTGAGTTCGTCAATGCCACGCGAGGTATTCACTATGATGTACCGCCGTGTTCCTCAGTCTGTGGGCCCCGCCTGTTTTCCAACAATGTCGGGCTCTATGGTCACAGCTATCTTTGAGGCTTCACGGTTGTGACCAAGATCGTCGTCTTCACGATTTTTTGGCCGGGATTTTCAGTGGTGAGAAACTACCATGAGTCATGCGCGGTCGGGTTCTATTTTCTGCCTTGCCATCATGCCTTTAGCTGCCAGCCCTCTGGCCTTCATTGCCTCGCGCCGCCAGTGCGATTGGGACGCGTGCGTCACCTTCACCAAGGAGACAGCTGGCGGTCGCCAGGCCTTCTGGAACAAGTGTGCAAGATGGTGCTGTGACGAGAAGGACAATCGCCACTCATCAAATGTCCTGGTTACAGAAGAGTGCAAGACGCACAGGTGAGATGGGCCATCGCATGGGCAAAACGAGCTATCAGTCACGCCATCGTCGCCCTATGTGTTCAGCATTTGTAAGTAGATGTTCTCGGCAATGTCCATCCTTGTTTTGTTTCGAAGCATGTGTCATGTAATGTGTGTTTACTTGGCCTGACATTCCATTCTTATCACGCAGGTGATCCGTCCTCTTCAAACTTGTCACGTGGTGTTTTGTCTCGATTATGCTGGCCAGTCTTGAGCATCTCCGATTTCGTCCATCGTATATTTTCCGTTGTCAGTTGGTTGCAGCTTCTTCTGCCTGCTCGACTCCGCGGGTCTTGCATCCCCTCAGCTACGAGTGGCTCAAGCGCTCTGAACGGCCGACTGCAAGTCTCCAAAGAAATTGTGTATTGGCCTCTGCCAGTATGTCAGCCAAGGTCGTCGAATTTGTCTCTTTCGTGTCGTGTTGTCGCATGTGATTTGTATCTTGTTCATTGTGCAATCTTCACGGCTGTACGCGAAAGCTGAATTGGCAAAAGCACGGTTCGTCATTATTATTAGTGAGAGTGCAGCCGGCATGCATGACAGTTGGGATGAGGTACGAGATGGGTGGGATGTGTTCAAGCGATTGCCTCTCAGTTTAGTGCCTTGCGCCCTGTGCTTGCACGTCATGGTTCAGGATGTGGCTCGTTACGCGCATCATGTGAAGGGGTTCGCCCTTCCCCGTTGCCCCCCACCCTCCTCAGACTGTTCGCATGGCCACGCATGTTCGGTTGGATGGTTCATTGTCATGTCAGTTGACCCGTTGACAACTCAGAGATGATTGGATTGCGATCTAAACTCAAAAGCACGCTCCCATTGTAGTCTGTGATGGTTCGCGGCTTCGCGAGTGCGCGTCCCTAGCCATGTCGGAGGACCCGTTGCTTCGAGCCCACAGGGTGTTCTGAGGAGTCGAGGGGGAATCGAAGGGGGGGGGCGGCGAGAAGACCTCCCGACCACACATCCCAACACCCCCAGGGGAGGCGGTGGCGCTCCTGGGGAGTCTCCCTATAGGCTGGGCTCGTGGCCTCGGAGGCGCGAGCGCGCCGTGAGAGCAGTGCCATCGGGAGCGCGAGCGCGTCGCAGTTTGCAAGAATGTCGGGCCTCGGGGCGCACGCGTGTCACACGGCAGGGGGGAAGCAGTGAGAGCATTTTCCCCCGCTCCCCCGAAAACCTCACAGTTGGCACGCGCGGGGGAGGCTGCGGTCGAAGTGCAGCTCAGCAGACCCGCCGCCAGCGTTGAGCAATTGGGGGGAGGGGGAGGCGTGGACCGATGAATGCGGCATGCGTGTTCCCTTTTTTTTCCCGAGGCCTGTACCTCGCGGGGGCGGTTTGTGGCCTTGGCAGCGCGAGAGCGTTGTGATAACATGCATTTGGCACTGGGATCGCGACCGCGATGCAGGCCAACGACAGTCCGTGGCCTCGGGGGTGCGAGCGCGGCGTGAGCTGTCAGGGACAGATGGCCTCGGGGCGCGCACGCGTGTCGCAGTGTGCGCTTTGGGGCGCCTCGGGCGCGCCAAAGCTGTTGTCGTACAGAGGGTTGCGGCCTCGGAGGCGGTAGCTTGGCATCGCTCGGACGTGTGCATTTTTCCTGCATTTTTCACTCGGCGAGGACCATCTAGGAACATCCTTGATCATTTGGCGAAAAAAACCACGCACGAAACCGAAAAAAACACGTCCGAGCGATGGCCAGATTGTCGTGCAGAGGGTTTTGCGGCCTCGGAGGCGCTAGCAGCGCGTTGTAATTTTTGCCAGGGGCTGGGGCGTGCGGTTTCGGGACCGCGAGCCCGTAGTAGTTCACTGCATGCACCAGCGCCCCCCAGACATGCGGGCGACGTGATTCTGGGAGTAGGGCGATCCTCGGCCTGGTGTCCTCGCGCGGACTTCAGCCATTGCAGCTGGGGAGCTAGAGCATATATCATTGAGACTTGTAGCATTTGGAACTGGAGCTGCTGTAGGGAACCGGGGATCCTGGCTCACGCAGCCTGTTGGCATTCCAAGGGGGCCGTCGGATTTGAAGTGTTCCGGCGTCGTAGTGACCTCCTGCTCCAGTTCCTCCACCCCGCAGGGTCGGGGCGCCAGGTTCCCGCAAAGATAGCCCCGTGCCTGTCCGCCCGCCCCGCATGCCGCCAGCGTGCCCCAAGACTCCCCGAGTATCCATGGCATCTTGCCTCGCGTCTTCGACAGATGGGAACAGAACCCGTCCCAGTCGCTGCGTCCGCTGGGCCGCAATACCTCCCGACCACCCCCAGTAGCCCGCCCGGCGCGTCCTCGACGAATCACCCCTGGCGTCCGGCAGGCGTGGTGGGGGCGGGGAGGGGGGTGGGGGAGAGATGGCGGGAGAGAGTGCGGGGCCTCAGGCAGGCGGAGCAAGGGCGGAGAGGGGGGGGGGGAGCCATGGGGAGGGCTGGGGGGGGGGGGGGGGGAGGGAGGGCGCGCGGGGGGGAGGGAGCGAGAGCGGAGCGAGGGCGCGAGGGGAGCGAGGGAGGGAGGGAGGGAGGGCCAGGCAAGAGAGGGGCGCGAGCGAGGGAGGGGGGCAGGGGGGGCAGGGGAGGGAGCGAGGAAGGGGGGCAGGGAGGCAGGAGAGGCAGGCTGGCGGGCATTCGAAGTCTTCGGACGCAGCTCTCTGTTCTGTCATGGCGCACGAGAACAAGGAGAGTCACGGCCATGCTGCGACGACACTGGAAGCCAAGCCGCTCGCGCTGGGGGGGGAGGAGGCGGGAGCTGCGTGCGCATTTGCCTCAGCTCTGCACCGGCTCCGTCACACCCCCCCAGCCGCCCTGCGAACAGCAGCGAGGCGAGCGGCAGCGCAGGGAGCCCCCGCGGAGTGGGGGAGCGAGGGGGGGGGGGCTGCCAGGCAGGGAGCGCCTGCCCGGAGCTCGTCCAGTCTGGTCCCAGACTCCGCTGTCTGGTCTCGGGGCTCAAGGGACGGGGGTCGATGCACACGGGGGGTCAGCCCGAGCGCGGGTTCCCGCAGGATCCTGCATGCGGGGCCAGGGTCGCATGGACCCGGGCCTTTGGGTGCAGGATCCTGCAGGATCCTGCAAGGCCTGGCTTCGTCGGGTCTGCACTGACCTGGGTCAGTGCGTCCCCGGTGGTCGCCGCACATCCTTGGCACGAGGCGGTGACCAGAAGGGAGGTCGTGGGCGGAAAGCAACCGCCGCATCCAGCGGCCTCGCGGGCCGACCCCCCTCGGTCGCGGCCCCGCGAGTTCGGGTGCTTCTTTCGCCGCGTGCCCCGCGCAGAACGTATCCGTGCGGCCGCCTATCCCGCTGGATCGCGACCCGCAGTCCAGAACGCGAGGGCGCGGATGCGGGTAGGTTCGCCGCTCGTGATGGCGAGGGGGATGGGTGACGTGGGAGGGAGGAACGACCTGAAGGTGGAGGGAGGAGGGATATTTGTAAGCAGGCAGGTTCGCGTCGTGCCGACCAGCGGCGACTCCGCGGACGGCGTTCAACGCCGAGCGCCGCCGGCGACCCATAAGCGGTCGATGTTGAACGATTGGACGTTTCGGAAACGGCCGACTGTTCCATGTGGAACGGTTATCGCGGTGTCAGAGACAGACGCCGAAGTCGACACAGCACGAATTCGCCCCAGATGGGGCGGGAGGAGAATCGGGTCGGGCGAAAGGGGGGGTTTGGGAAAGGGGGGGTTACGAAATCTGCTGCATGCAGCTGGTTTCGGCCCGACCGAGGGGCCCATTCCTCGATACATGGGCGCCTCCCGGCGCCGGGAGGCGCCGGGAAAATCAGCTACGTGAGCTGATTCTCAACCCCCCCCTTTGCTATCCCCCCCTTTCGCCCGACCCGAGAGAAGTCGGGACGGTGACAGACGCGGCGGGCGCGGCGTCCAGGCTATGCTATCCTGTGTCCTGGCGGCCTGCGCGGCGTCCTCCCGCGCCGAGCGCACCCAGATGGTCATGGCGCCCGACGCCGCGTCTCTGCTGGACCCGCTGGACCTGGCCGTCGCCGAGTCCGGAGGCGGCGGTCGGATCTGCACGAACGTCGGGGGCGGAAAAGAAAGGGGTGATGACTAGGGGGGGTGGATATCATGGCGGGGGCCATGATATTTCCCCAGATTTCAGGGCACCTCTTCTGATTTCATTACGTCCCTGGCCCCCCCGCTGGGCCGCGCACATGCCGCCGGTCATGATTTGCACCCCCCCCTCTTGGACGCCCCCCTCTTTGCCGCTCCCGAGAACGAAATGGGCACGGAAAGAATGGGCACAATGCCCAACAGCAGATCTTCTTCGTTTTGAACAGCACTCGCTGTCCACGCCACCGCGGCCTGTGTCCATGCGAGAGAGAAGGCCGCCTGCCGAACAGCGGTCGCTGTTGGTTTAGGGCGACATTTGTTGTTGGGCAGTGCACCCATTCTTTCCGTACCCATTTCGGGCGTCCAAATCGGAGATCGTCAACAACTATTGTAGGCTCGCGTGCCCCGCCGCTTGCGTTCGACGTTCAACACCGCCAGCGACCCAGAATCAGTCGATTTTGAACGATCGCACGTTTCCGAAAAGGCCGATCGTTCAAGGTTGAACGATCACCCCCACGGTCTGAGGAACCAGCGCAGAAGTCGGCACGGCACGAGCGTGCTGTACATCATCAGAGTGAGGGGGCCGAGCGGTGATCCATTTCCCCTGGGTGCGTGGCTGAAGTGGGACTTCTCAGATCGTGCTTCGACCCTCCGTTTACCACGACAGCGGCTCCCGCCCGATAATTGATTCAAAATCGACTTTTCGCGCGGGACGTCCTCGCAATCAATCGAGGAATCGCGCCCTTGCGTGGTACTTTCTAGCCGTCTATTGGGACACCGCGCCTTCGACACTCAGGAATCATGCCGTCGCGTTGGACTGCCCCATGGTGCACTTGGGAATTGCGCTACTGCTCGAGACCTCCGCTGACGCTTCGGCGACTGGCCCGCTCGACCCCAGCCGTCTGGGCCCGTCCGTGCGCTCCGCCCGGCAAGGTGCGCCCGCCAGGCCCGCCCGTCTGGTTCTGCCGCTTGCACTCCCGCTCCTGACCCCCCGCGCCTCCATCCTTCCCTCCCCCCCCCCCCCACTTGTCTCGTCCCTCCTCCCTTCCTTCCCCTGCTGAGGAGCTGCGCCAACTATACACGTGGCAGTTCAGGGCGATGTGCCCCGAAGGGGTCGTACGATCGACGACGAAGAGTGCGAGCATCGAGGGTTCGGGATATGCTGTTGCTGGTTACTGGTGTTGTTTTCGTTGAAAATTCATTTCACAAGAATGATAATTGTTGATCCCCCCTGCCCAGTGCACATTGAATTACAGCGCTCCTCCCGGGGTTCGCACGCTGTTTTTGTTTGGGAAACAAAGTCTTGGTCCTCAAACTGTGTCCTTGGCCCCCGGTTTACGCAACAACACCGGCTCCCGCTTGATGCTTCCTCACCCTTTCTTTCAATTTCGCGCTTTCACGCGGGATTTTCTTCAAATTCATGCTAGAGTCGCGCTCTCGCGTGGCATCTCCCTGCAATTCGTGGCGGCGCCGTGCGCCCAGGACTCACGAACCACGCTCTCGCTTCTCGAAGCCCCAGCGACTTGCTGGGACTCGCGCCGTCGCTCGAAACTGCCTTGCGATTCATGTTTCGGGGGAGCGTAAGACCAGGGTTTGCCAGGACTCGGGTTCGCCATCGTTTTTTGACGACCGCGCCTCGGATTTTGACGAGGAGGAGTTTCGTGGGACGTCTGCAGCGGGAGGCCTCGTCAAAATGCAGGCTCGGCCTCGTCATTTTTTTGACGACCTCGTCGGGGATTTCCGAGTCCCCTGTACGTACCCAGGTCTTACGTCCCCCTGAATGTTGCATCGACGCTCCAGCGGCCCGCCCGCTCGACCCCGGCCTTCTGGGCCCGCCCGCCCGCCCTGCCCGGGTCTGCCCGCCCGCCCGCCCGTCTGGCTCTGCCGCTTGCACTCCGGTTCCCAGCCGTCCTCCTGCAGATCCTCCTCCACCTCCTCCTCCTCCTCCTCCCCCTCCTCCTCCTCTCCTCCTCCTCCCTCCTCCTCCTCCTCCTCCTCCTCCTCCTCCTCCTCCTCCTCCTCCCTCCTCCCCCCTCCTCCTCCTCCTCCTCCTCCTCCTCCTCCTCCTCCTCCTCCTCCTCCTCCTCCTCCTCCAGCTGTCTCACCGCCCACCGCACCGCCCCAGCCCCACCCGAAGGCCACGACGTGCCCTCCACTTCCAGTGGGCGGGGGTGTCGGGGAGCACTGACAAAAGCACACGGAGCCCGTACCCCCCCCCCTGAACCCGAAATTCGGGTCAGAATTTTGGGCCTTCGGGTTGGGTTAGGGGTGGTCTGGTAGGTAGTCACAGCCGTCCTCCTGCAAGCCCTTGTCGTGCGCCACCCTGCTCCCTCCCCCGTGCCTCTTTTCCCTCCTCCCTGCCTTCCACTCTTGCAGGGGCTGCGCCAACTCTACGCGGCAGGCAGGGAAGGTGTACCCTCAAGGGGGGGGGGACGATCGAAGACGAAGAGTGAGAATATCGAGGGTTTGAGATGTACGTATTGTGTGGCACGCGAGCAGATACGAGCGATCGGTCGTAACACGGGTGTTGCTGTTGATTGTTGTTGATTGTGTAAGTTGTTTGTTGCTGCTGCTCTTGTTTGCTGTTTGTTGTTGTAGCGCTTGCCAGCGACCCGCCCGCGACCAAGCTGCGGCCCACCCCGCGACCCACTTCGCGACCCACCCGCGACCCCCCCTGCGCCCTCACCACGCTCTTATCCGCAATTGCGGGGGGTGCTGTCGGGACCTCCTGTCTGCCGAGCCAGACGAGCACATGGTCCAGCCTTCCACATGCCACAGTACACTGAACCACAACTTACCGACAATCATGTATTGCGAACTTGTATTGCGACCACGTCGATGACTCGGTCATGAACTTGCGTTCGCTCGTGCTCTGGCCGCGCATGTCTTCCTGCCTTGACATCGGGACTCCGGACTGACGGTGCCAACACGAACACCCGAGTGTCCGAATGCGCGTTGCGAGCTTTCGCGAGCAAGTGTCCGTGTGAATGCATGTCGCGATTTGCGTTGGCATCGCAATTGTTGATCGCTCGCGCGTGCCAAGTTCTTGTGCGCTTCGCGCGTTCCGTAGCGGAGAAGTACTTGCTGCCACCGTGGCAGACATGTCGCGGCTTGAATTTGCACGCGAGCCCATAGGGGTCGTTGGTATCCAGCGCGCCGATCACCCTCTCCAGGAGCCCTTCCAATCGCACTATATCGGCCTAGGTTTGCCGCGCCCACTCCAGCCGCCACCCACTCCAGCGCCTACACCAGCGCAGAGGCCAGCACCGGCCCCAGCCCCGCCCTGGCGCATTCGCCAGCTCCGACACCAGCACCCTCGCCATCATCAGCGCTTGGACCTACGACGCTGGCACTCACGCCAGCGCCTACACCAGCACCGACGTCAGCACCGACTCCACCAACGCCGGCCATCTGACGACAACGCACCAGAGGATTCATTAATCAAGCATGACCGCGAGGACAAGGTTGACCAAGACAAAGGCGCCCGACTGGTGCGCAAACTAAAGTACGCCGACGCCTACACCAGTACCGATGCCAGCACCGAGATCCAACCGGCTACCATGATTCCTCCAGCACGTGCCACTCACATGTGCCTTGTTCGACTCTCCATTTCACTTACACCAGCGCCGACGCCAGCACTGACGTCAGCACGAACGCCGGCGCCTGCGTCAGCACCAACGCCAGCGCTTACACCCACCAGCACCGATGTCATCACCGACGCCTGTATCAACGCCGACGCCTACACAGGCACCGTTGCCTGCACCGACGCCAGCAGGAACGCCTGCAATGGCGCCGGCACCAACGACGCCTGCACCGATGCCAACACAGACTTCCGCACCTGCGCCGGCACCAACGCCGGCACTTGCACCAGCGGCACGACGAATACCACGCGCAGCAGGACGGATACCAAGAGCTGCACGTCGACGAGCACGCGGGACACCATGGGCAGCACGGCGGATGCGCAGCACGACGTCTGCCAACGGCTTTAGCACCGACGCCAGCACCGACGCCGACGCCTAACCCGACACCAATGCCGCCTTGACCTGCATTCGACCCGCGGTCGAATGAACCCTGCTCCCAGCGTCTTATCCCTCCCCATTGGATAACGAGTGCGCCACCCATCACTTCTATCCCTAGCTCCGACTCCCCAGCCCAGACGCCCAGCTCCGACGCCAGCACCACCGCGGGCGCCTACGCCAGCGCAGACGCCAGCACCGACCCCAGCACCCACGCTTGTGCCTATGCCTTCACCGACGCCAACGCCTACACCAGCACCGACGCTAGCACCGACGCCAGCACCGACGCCAGCACCGACGCCGACGCCTAACCCTACACCAATGCCAGCGCCTTCACCTGCATTCGACCCGCGGTCGGATACACCCTGCTCCCGGCGTCTTATCCCTCCCCATGGGATGACGAGTGCGCCACCCATCTCTTCTATCCCTAGCTCTGACTCCCCTGCTCCGACTCCCTAGCTCCGACGCCAGCACCACCGCCGGCGCTTACGCCAGCGCAGACGCCAGCACCGACACCAGCATCGACGCTTGTGCCTATGCCTTCACCGACACCAGCGCCTACCCCAGCACCGACGCCAGCTCCAACGCCGATGCCCAACTCGACACCAATGCCAGCGCCTTCACCTGCATTCAACCCGCGGTCGAATACACCCTGCTCCCATCGTCTTATCCCACCCCATGGGTTCACGAGTGCGCCACCCACCACTTCTATCCCCAGCTCCGACTCCCCAGCTCCGTCGTCCAGCTACGACGCAAGCGCCACCACCAGCGCCTACGCCTGCGCAGACGCCTGCACCGACATCAGCACCCTCGCTTGTGCCTATGTCTTCACCGACGCCAACGCCTACACCTGCACGGACGCCAGCACCGACGCCGACGCCTAAGCCGACACCAATGCCAGCGCCTTCACCTGCATTCGACCCGCGGTCGAATAAACCTGGTTCCGGCGTCTTATCCCTCCCCATGGGATAACGAGTGCGCCACCCATCACTTCTATCCCTCGCTCTGACTCCCCTGCTCCGACTCCCTAGCTCCGACGCCAGCACCACCGCCAGCGCAGACGCCAGCACCGACACCAGCACCCACGCTTGTGCCTATGCCTTCACCGACGCCAACGACTACCAGTACCGACGCCAGCACCAACGCCGATGCCTAACCCGACACCAATACCAGCGCCTACACCAGCACCGACGCCAGCACCGACGCCAGCACCAACGCCTGCGTCTACGCTGGCACCGGTGCCCTCGCCTGCACCAGCACAGACGCCAGCACCGACGCTTGCTCAAACGCCAGCGCCTACGCCTGACCCGACTCCAACGCCGACGTCAGCATCACCGCCTACGTCTACTTCGACGCCAACGCCAGCGCCGACGTCAACACTGACGCCAGCAGCACGAACGCCGGCGCATCTGACAACAACGAACGCTGACGCCAGCACTAACGCCGGCTGTCCGACCCAGCCCCAAGGACCTACGACGCTTGCACCAACGCCAGCGCCTACACCAGCGCCGACGTCAGCACCGACTCCACCAACGCCGGCCATCTGACGACAACGCACCAGAGGATTCATTAATCAAGCATGGCCGCGAGGACAAGGCTGACCAAGACAAGGGCGACCGACTGATTCCACTGCCTCTCCCAATGCCCACTTCCCTCTGTCTTCCCACCCGCACCTCCACTGCCTCACCAGCGCCAGCACCAATGTCGGCACCTTCGCCAGCGCTGACGCCAGCATTGACGCCAGCATCAACGCCTACGCCAGCACCAACGCCAGCTCCTTCACCAGCGCCGACGTCAACCCCTACGCCAGCACCACCGCATGCGCCTAACAACACCAGGGCGCCGGTGAGCTGACCAGCTGACCGGTACGCGCCAGCATCAGCACCAGCGCTGGCGCTTTTGCCAGGGCCGACGCAAGCACCGACGCCAGCATCAAGGCCTGCGCCCTCGCAGGCATCAACGCCGGGGCATACAACAGCGCCGACGTCAGCCTCTATGCCAACTCCAATGCCCCCGCCTACGCCGACACCAACGCTGGCGCACTGGGGAGCTGACCAATTGACCAGTGTACACCAGCGCCCGCGCCAACGCCGGCACCTCGCCAGCGCCGACGCCGGCACCGTCGCCGTTTCCAACGCCTTCGCCTACGCCGGTACCAACGTCAGCGCCTCCGTCGGCGCAACGATGAGCCGAGGGGACGATGGGGACGAGCAGATGTCCAGCTCGCCGGAGTTGAGCACTCCCACGGTGTCCATCACGACGGAGATTAACACCTTCTTCGACGTGGCTGTCCTAGTCTTCATCTTCGTGGAATCTCTGATCAAGATCTGACGTAGCGATCCCATTGTCCTGTCATAGAGGCCAGGCAGGCGGTGAGCTCTCTGAGCAGCCGGAGTTCTCCGCTTCCCCTGGTCCTCTTCTCTCTCCCCTTCTTTTATTGGCTGCCACCCCAAGGGTGCGTCCACTCTGCCGCGTCCCGTCCCTACGTGGTAGGACTCGGGCAGGCCTTGCAGGGGTCACCCAGGCTGATATCTGATTGTACCGCTGGCGAATTCGGTTTCCTCCCTCCTCCCTTCTCCTTCCTCCCCTTGTCCCCCCTCTCCTTCCCGCCCCCGTTTCACCGAGACGATTTGGGGTGAGTTCGTATCGCGTAGAGCTCTGGTGCCAATGAAGGGGGGCAAACCGGACACTTTTAGAAATTAGGTTTGCGTGCTGGCTCCGTTTGTGCACTTGTCTTTCTTTTTGTCCTCCTTCCCTGTTTCTCCTGGAACTTGTTGCCGTAACTTCGGCCACGTTCGCAGGACAGCCTCCGTCCACTTCCTGTGCATGTGCGGTGCCGCTGCGCTTGACCTCGTTTCTTCGTGCTGTTCGGCGTTTGCCGCGCGCAAGGTAGAGTGACGTTTCGAGCGCCACATGAGCGCGCAACTATGGTGATGTTCTGATTCTGGGCGTTGGATTCAAGATCTCTTGGGCGCTGTGTCTTCATCTGCATCAGGTTTGAGAGTTCGATTGAAAATCGTGGGGGGCATCCACGTCACAACTACTTTTAAACGGTGCCCTATCCCCCGTCTTCGATGTTTGATATCAGCCGCCAAATGCACCTGCAGCCGGTCCAGCGGTGCAGCGAAACAGGCTCAGAATGATCCGCTTGGTATGCGAACTTGTCATCCCAGGACCGGCTTGGGAAAACATGTGCGTGCGGGCGGGGCAGCAGGAGTGGAATCAGCAACGCGCCACGTGCGAGCGCAGCGCGCGCGCCGCTCTCGCAAGCCACACGCGCGCGCCACGCGCGCGCGCCACGCGCGCGCGCGCCACAGGCGCGCGCCACATGCGCCGCCGCGTGCACGTTCCACGCACGGTGCGTGAGGGCCTCGCCACGTGGGTGCGCCACGTGCGCTTCCGTGCGCCCCTCACAGGGATGGCACGTCTGGCGCGCACTTGTGGCAGGCGCTTCCGCGGGCCACTGGGCGCGACTGCGGGGAGGGGCCGGGCCCGCGCTCCGGCGAGGGCCGCCGGGCCCGCACGCGCTCCAGGCATGGCATGGCTCCCCACCGCCAAAGCAGCTCCAACATTCTCGAGGGTCGACGCGTTCCGACACGATAGACGTGGTGCTCCGATCCTTTGTCGACACCGGTCGCCGGAAGATGGTGTGCAGCGCCGGAGGCGCAGGAGCTCCCCATCGCCGCGGCCGAGAGCTTACTTGGGCAGCTCCCCTCAGCCACGCGCAGAAGGGGGTGGAGGGTGGGGGGAGGGGGGAGGGCTTCTTACAAGCACCCCTGCTTCTTAGAGGGCGCGGGCCTTATCTATAGATGTAAGGCCGGCGCCTTCGAAGAAGCAGCCTCCTTCTGAGAAGCCCTCCCCCCTCCCTCAACCCCCCCGTGCGCGCCGCCGAACCCCATCGGCGCTGCCCGCCGCAGCGTTTCAAGGGACCACTCCAAGGCCCCCGACGCCCAGCACCCCCCGGCCGTCCCCGAAGCACCGCGGCCAGCCGAACCTGGCGGGCGTGAGCCCGAAGCTCCGTCTGAGCCCTGCGCGGCGCCCGCGCCTGTAAGCCTTGGGCCCAGGGAAGGCCAGAGTGGGAGGAGGCTCTCGGGTCAAGTCGGGCGTGTGCCTCTAATTACAGGAGGTTTAGAAAACAATCCAGACATTGTCTGGGGACGATTTTTCTATTTTTTTTTTGAATATCGATTTTCCAATTGTTGAACATGTTCGATCATTTTTTTCCTATTTTTCCTTGGTCGTCCAAAATCGCCCTGTAGCAGGGGACACGCCCGAGCAGTACAGCGGGCATTCCTCGGGGTAGGTCTGCGGGCGTGGGGCGTCCACCGAGTCACGCACACCGCGCTTTGGGCGAAGGCTCGCGCGCCCTTCGTGCATCTGCGCCGCGGCCCCCCCGACGTGCGCTCTCAGAGGCCCGCGCGGGGTCCTGGGATTGGCGCTGGACCCCCTTGGCGTCGCCTCCGACGCCACCTTGGGGCGGGCTCCGCGTGCCGGGGGAAGGGGGGCCCCAGCGCCGAGCGGAGCAGTGGGCGAAGAAGCCTCCGGCCGTCTGATGCTTCTGCGGCTGCTGGCTCCACCACTCGGGTGTAACTCCGGGGAGGTCGAGGGGAGCCTTTGTGTTGTGCAGACTCTGGCAAGTTTGCCCTTCATGGGCGTGGGGGGGAGGCATGGACGGGGGGGGGGGGCTGAACCTGAAGCAGTGCGCAAACCACTTGACGTGCGGAAATCACGCAAGTCGAAAGGCTCGCGCACGCTCGTATTCGATAGAAGAGGGGCGAGGGGGGGGGAGGAAACGCCATGCAAGTAAGCTTGAAAAAAACAGGCTCATTCAGCATCGGCGCTGGGCCGTGGTGGAAGGCTGGCCTAATCAGGCACGGTCCCGTTCAATCTGGCTTCGTCCCGCTCAGTCCGGCCTGCTCCTGTTGAAGGCGGCTTCTTGGGCGCACTCCAGGCCACTCTGGCTCGATGGCGGGCGCCGTCATCGGGCTCACTATCTTTTAGTCTCTCGCTCGTACGGAGGCTTCTCGTTCGTTCGTTCTCGTTCTTTGAGTCTTTCGTTCTAGTTCTCGTTCTTTGAGTCTTTCGTTCTCACGCGAGACTTCTCGCTCTTTCCTTACTATCTTTTAGTCTTTCGTTCTCGTTCTTTGAGTTGCCCACTCAAGATGCTTATGCGGCTGCTGGCTCCACCAGGCGATTCCCTGATGTCCGTGGTGAGCTCCGCGGTGCGCGCCCTGGCCACGAACCAGACCGTGACGCCCGACGCGGCCGTGACCAACGACGCGCCCCCCGAGGCAGGCTGGCCACCGGCTGGGAGGGGGAGCCGGGTTCCCGACTTGCCCCTCTGGGGGGCCCCTCCGCCCCGACGGCCTTCAAACCAAAGCCGCCCTAAGTGGCACCTAGAACATTTGCATCTGGCACCTCGAGTTTGTCCGTTGGCCTCGACGCAGCGAAGCCTTGAGCCGATGAGGGCGCAGCTTTCTTGGACAGAACCCTGACGACATCTTGGGACCATAGGGGTCGTCTTGGAGCCATGAGGATCGCCAGGGCCCCTCTCTTGGGCCGTCTTGGGGCCATCGTGGGCCGTCTTGGGGCCCTCTTGGGGGCCTCTTGGGCCGTCTCAGAACGAGCTTTCGGGCCTCTTGGGCCGTTCTTGGCCCGAAGAAGCGAGTAATAATATGATTGCGACTACACCTACCACTACTACTATGCTACTACTATCACAATGCGCACGCAATACTGCGATTACTCATACCATCACCGCGAATATGACATTATTGTGCTGACGTGGCCTGACATCGCCGCATAATCCAACAACCATCACCATCGTTTGCGTGGCCTTCATATCCATTCATTCCCATCATCATCAACGCTGACATCATCATGACTTGCATAATCTTCAATATCACCTCGCGCAACATAGATAGATCGCGCCACATATATTGCACCGCGGAGCTTACACTACAGGCTCACGCCGCACTGATTGCACCACGTTGATTGTAGTAGATACCACATCCACTGCTCAATGACTCAGTGGCCGACGCTGGTACATGCACACTATATGTGCATGCGCGCACGCCCATCTCGTCATGCCGACATTCACCATCACACGTCGCCCCAGGCCCAGTCATCAGGGAACGTCCCGTCGACATCCCGCTGCCATCATCGTGACCTGTCTTCACCATCACCTCAGTCCATAGCTGTCCCATCAAAGCGCATGTGTTGCAGCAGCAGGTTTCCCGGGGAGGTAATACAATGAGCCTGACCCCCCGTTGGGGGGGGTCAGGCTCATTGGCTTATGTTGCGCATGCGAGAGTCACCTGGGCCCCCCTTTGGACACCGGCCGAGCCCAATAAGCCTGACCCCCCCCCCACCCGGGGGGTCAGGCTCATTGGATTACCTCTCCGGGAAGCCTGCAAGTTGCAACACATGCGTTTTGATGGGACAACAGCTATTGACAGACGTGATGGTAAGTCATGATGATGGCAGCGCCGATGATGATGGGAATGAATGGAAGACTTCGTCGTCGTCGCGTCCAGAGTCCAAAAAAGGCCCGACGCCGCCCTCCCGGGAGATTCCGGCGGGCATCTCTCAACGAAGGCGACTTGCTCATTGGACGCGGCCGGTGTGCAATGAGCAACCCGGGATTCCCGGGGCCTCGGAAGCTCAATTCCGGCTTGGGCACGGCCTCGGCGGCCTCCCGGGGTCCAATTTCGCTTTGGGCCGCCGCCTGAGGGGAGTTCCCGGGGTCCAATTCCGGCTTGGGCCGCTCCTGAGGAGCCTTTCCGGGGCCCAATTCCGGCTTGGGCCGCCGGTTCCCGTGAAACGTATGCCTGTTGGCCGCCATCTTCCGAGATTGGTCACACCTGGGACCATTATGGTCCCAGGTGTGACCAGGTCCCGGCCTCCGGCGTCTTGACGTTCCCCGCCGTTGCGGCGAGTCTCTGAGACCTGCCCGGAGACCCCCGGGCCGGGCCCCCCGCAGGCATGGCCCAAGATGGCGGGATGACCCCAGCGCGGCATCGCGGCCCAAGGTGGCCCCAAGACGGCCCAAGAGAGGGGCCCTGGCGATCCTTATGGCTCCAAGATGACCCCAATGGTCCCAAGATATCGTCAGGGTTCTGTCCAAGAAAGCTGCGTCCTCATCGGCTCAAGGCTTCGCTGCGTCGAATTTGTCCGTTGGCTTAAGCCAACGGACAAATTCGAGGTGCCAGATGCGAATGTTCTAGGTGCCACTTAGGGCGGTTTTGGTTTCTTCCTGGGAGGGTGAGGCCGCGGAGGAGGCGGGAGAAGGAGTTCATGCGGAGGAGTGGGAGGAGGGAGGACGAGAGTGCGGGGAGGGAGAATCAACAAAAATGCGACCCCTTCCCCGGGGGCCCGAGGAGAAGAGCCCCCCGCTTCGGCGTCGGGCTACTGGCGAACGGCCCTTGGCCGCGGGGGGGGGCAACATGCGGGCACGGCTCGCTGGCCAGGGCCCGCGCTGGGCGGCCCGGCCGGGCGCGCGCCCCGACCAGGGGGTGGCGCCAAGCGGAGCGGAAGGAAGGACCGAGAGATGTGACGTTGTATGTAGCTGGCCTGGCTGGATGCCCGAGGGCGCAGCTTCCTGGTATCGACGTCGTGGAGGCGGTTTTGTTTGACGTTCGGGTTCTTCATGCGCTGGTGCATGACTTTCGATTCGCTGGAGCTTGAGGGTGTGTGTGTGGTCTGCTTGACCCATCCTCCCATCCTTTCTAGATGTATTGATTGAAGGAGGAAGAGGAGGAGGCAAGAGGAGAAGGAGGAGACGGAGGACGACGGGAAGGTCGATGTCATGGGGTCCCCGCAGATGGGGGGGAGAGGATTAGAGCCCCCATCGCACCAGTAATGACTGGTGGGTGAGGTCAGCCCCACTGCCATCGAGAAGGCCGTTACCAAAGAGGAGGCCACTATCGCCGGGAAGAACACCACCGTGGAGAAGGACCCCGTCGAAGACCTCGCCGAGCATGTCGAGGGGAGCCGCGGGGTGAGAAGCGAGGGAAGGGGGAGGGAGGTTCAGTCCAGGAGGAGAAGGAGGTGCTGAGTCGTGCCTGCATCGTCGTACGATCGATGAGTGAACCTATGTTCCCCATGCATGTCGCCCGTCGCGCCGTTAGTGCTTCTGACCATCCAGGGGCCTCCAGGGAGGCTCATTTGTCTATGTTTGTCTGTGTGTGTTGTTTGCAGTTTTTGCTCTTCTGTGTGTGAGTGTGTGCGTGCGTGTGTTTGGGAGACCTGACTGTGATTCTAGAATGTTCCATTGATCCGCTTGTTTGCACGGTCAGCTACGATACCCCCCGGATCCGGATGGTGACCCTCTTGTATGGTTTATTGTCTTCCTTCTTGTCTCGCTTGTGGTCTTCCTGATCGTCTCCCGTTCAGTAGTTTCTAGAATGAACTTCACATTTCGGGTGTCCCCACCGCCCATTCACAAACCCTGTCCATGAGAGTTGACGGGACAAAGAACAAAGAGCCACATGTAGTGAAACAAAGCGGGCAACCAGGGTGAACACAGAGATCTCTGGAGCAAGGGGGTGGCCTTGGAGGGTCTCTTCGGACCATCCCGGGGGCCCGCGTGGGGGCGAGGAAAGGCGAAGGAGGAGGAGGACGAGGAGGAGGAAGACGACGCGACAGCGACGACGACGACGACGAGGAAGAGGAAAACGACAAGGAAGACGATGAGGGCAAAGACGAGTAGGAGGAGGATAATGTGGAGAAGGACAATGAGGAGGAGGATAGAGCCCTCGAAATCACCTCTTGGAGTCCTCTGGGGCTCGTTTAGGGGCTCTTTGGAGGGATCGTTGGGTCCTCTTGGGGCTCTTTTGGGGGGTCTTGGGGCCCTCGTGGGACCCTCTTGGGGCTCTTTTGGGGGGCCTCTTGGGAGCCCTGGAGGTCCTCTTGAGGCCATCTCGGAGGCTGTCGATCAAAGAAGGGGGTGTCTTCGATTTGCCTCCCTCCCCCCGTGTGCCATCCAAATCGCCTCTTGGAGCGTTATTGGGCCGCTATTGGGCGCTCTTGGAGCCGCCTTGGGCCTCTCATGGGCCATCTTGGGGCCATTTTGAGGCCTCAGCAGCGCATCGGAAGCGAAAAGGCGAGGGGTCAGGCATCATTGATCTTCCTTCGGTTTGTTAAGGGTGTTGGCCTGTGGGGGGGTCCTGACGGGGCTCCGAGGGCACTTTGAGACGTCTTGTGACCTTTGTCTGGCCTCTTGGAGGTATGTCGGAAGCTATGCTGAACCAGCGTCGGCTATCTTGAGTAAGGCGATCGACAGCGAGGCTACGGCTCTGTTGGGGGAGAAGAAGGTCTGAGCACGCGCCGCCCGCGGAGCGCTGCGAAGAGCCTCGCCCCCCAGGCTCTCGTATCTGGCGTGGGCTCTTTTGGTTCTGGTCGATCGGCGGGCGTCGCGTGGCGCGCCACCCGGGACTGCACGGTCCGAGGGGAAAAAAAAGCGTCGGCTGTCTTGAGTCATCGTGGAGACCATCTTTTGGAGCATCTGACGCCCTCCTGGAGTCGTTCTGGGCCACCTCGAGAGCCCTGGCGCTGCGCGGCCCGCCCCCAAAAGAGCCTCGTGGCGGGGAGGGGGAGGGTACCCCCCCCCCCAAGGGAGGGATGTCTTGGGAAGGGGGAGGCAAGAACTCGTTAGGCCACCTTCCTTAGCCCAAAGGGCTGATGGGATCTCCATACCCTCGTAATTACTGCCTGTAGCGCTGTCTGTCTCTCTCTCAAGAGCTGATTCGGGTCTTCTGCCTCCCAGGGTGTGAAGCTGCAGTCTGTTCGTGTCGTTGGCGCAACTTGGGCTTTAGGGATCCTCCGGGGGCTTCCATGGTCTTCAGGAGGCTTTTGGGGGGACCGTCGACCTACGGGGAGCTCGGACCTTGAGGAGGATGTGTGGACGAGAAAGCATGTGCGCAACGACCGTTGGCGGATTTGCTTGCTCGATCCTGCCGTTTCTTCATTTCGGCCTCCGCCTGGGCCCTCGTTGGGCCAGGGATGACAAGCTATACCCATGGGGAGGAGGTCGAGACTTCCATGGGGCCCGCGCATAACGACAGCAGCTCAACGTCTACCCCTTCGACAATTTGGGTCCCATCCTCGGCTGTCTTCGGCGTCTGAGCCCACATCCATTGCGCTTGGCACCCCCTATCGAGACCGGACAGAGGTAGAGCGGAGCCCCCTGCACCTCCCTCGTCTCGTCAGCTACGCGTCGAGGGAATGCATGACAACACACCAGCACCACCAGCCGGGCCCCCGCCCGGACGTCTAAAGTGTTTCTGTTCCATCGCTGCGTTTTTTTGTTCATATGTGTTTATCTCTGGGTGTGGGCACCGCGACCATCAAACCTGGGCCTGCGATGAAGAAACGCCCCCCTGGACCTGCGACGAACAAATTGGTTGGCGTACGGCTTCTTCATGCATTGGTGCATGACTGTCGACTTGCTGGAGCCTGAGGGGAGGTGTGGTCTGCTTGGCCCATCCTATCCAGATGCATTGAAGCATGGCGTTGAAGGAGGAGGCGAGAGGAGGAAGAGGAGGAGGAGCAGGAGGAGGAGGACGACGGGAAGGTCGATGCCATGGGGTCCCCGCAGGTGGGGGGAGAGGATCACAGCGGAGGGAGAGGATCACACCCCCCCCCACACCTGCAACGGCTGGTCGGCGAGGTCAGCCGCACTGCCATCGAGAAGGCCGTTGCCAAAGCGGAGGCCACTACCGCCGAGAAGAACACCACCGTGGAGAAGGACCCCGTCGAAGACCACGCCGAGCATGTCGAGGGGAGCCGCGGGGTGGGCAGCGAGGGAGGGAGGAGGGGGGTTCAGTCCAGGAGGAGAAGGAGGTGCTGGGTCGTGCCTGCATCGTCGTACGATCGACGAGTGAGCCGATGTTCCCCATGCATGTCGCCCGTCGCGTCGTTATTGCTTCTGACCATCCAGGGGCCTCCGGGGGTGGGGGTCTCATTTGTCCGGGTGTGTTGTTTGCAGTAGTTGCTTGTTGTTTTGCGTGTGTGTGTGTGTGTGTGTGTCTGAGTGCGTGTGTTTGGGATACTCGAGTGTGAATCTACCATGTTCCCTGACAAGGCTTGTTTGTACGGCCAGACGTGGGGTCCCCTGGAGCCGGAATCTGTGGCTCGTTGTCTCCCACATGGTCTCCCCTAGTGGTCTCTTATGTGGTCTCCTGGATGGTGACCCTTACGTGTGGTGGATCGTCTTCCTTGTTTCACTTGTGGTCTTCCCTATCGTCTCCCATTCAAGACTTTCTGAACTATACCTCACGTTTCGTGGATCCCCACCAGCCCATTCACAAACCCTGCCCATGAGAGTTGACGGGCAAAAAATACGAAGCGACACATGTAGTGAAACAAAGCGGGCAACCAGGATGAACACAGGGATCTCTGGAGCAGGGGGGGGGGCCTTAGAGGGCCTCTTCGGACCATTCCCGGGGCCCGCGTTGGGGCGAGGGAAGGAGAAGGAGGAGGAGGAGGAGGACGAGGAGGAGGAGGACGACGACGACGAAGAGGAAAACGAAAAGGAAGACGATGAGGGCAGGACGAGGACGAGGAGGAGGAGAAGGACAACGAGGACGAGGATAGAGCGCCTCTTGGAGCCCACCACTTGGGGCTTTGGGGGGGCTCTTTGGAGGGATTGTTGGGTCCTCTTGAGGCTCTTTTGGAAGGTCTTGGGGCCCTCTTGAGGCCCTCTTGGGGCTCTCTCGCGGGCCTCTTTGGAGCCCCGGAGGAGCCCCGGAGGGCCTTCTTAGGCCATCTTGGAGGCCATCGATCAAAGAAGGGGGTGTCTTTGATTTGCCTCCCCCCCTCTGGGGCCATCTAAATCGCCTATCTGGGGCGTTCTTGGGCGCTCTTGGGGCCGTCTTGTGCCTCTCTTGGGCCATCTTGAAGCCTCCACAGCGCATCGGAAGCGAAAAGGCGAGGGGTCAGGCATTATTGATTTCCTTTGGTTTTTGAAGGATGTTGGCCTTTTGGGGGGGTGGGGTCCTGATGGGGCTCCGAGGTCACTTTGAAACGTCTTGTGATCACTGTCTGGCCGCTTTCGGGCCTGGGGGCTTCCAGGCAAACTTTTCGGGCCCCGACGCCTTAATTTTGGTCATTTTCGCAGCCCGGAGGTTTGACTCCCAGCCCTGGATGACAGTTTCGACCTGGGGACCTTTCAAAAAACGCTTCGGGCCCCGGAAATTTATTATAATATTTTTCGCAGCCCAAGGGGTCGGGGCCCAGCTCTGGAGGACATTTTCGGGCTAGGGGACCTCCAACAAAAAACCTGGCCCCCAAAAAGGCTGCCCCGGGAGTTGTGGCCCAGCCCTGGAGGATGTTTTCGGGCCTGGGGACCACAACAACGCTTGCGCCCAAAAACATGTATGTTGGTGCTTGTCGCAAGACCGGGGCTCGGGGACGTCCTGCAACTGCTCCGGCCCCGAGTCGTTTACTCTAGATCGGGTGTGCTTTGCAGCCTGGGGGGTCGGGGCCTAGCCCTGGAGGACGCGCTCGGGCCCGGGGGCCGCTGAGAAAGGCTCGGACCCCGAACAAGTCGTTGCTGTGTTTTGTTCGCAAGCCTCGGGGGTTCGGGGGTCGTGGCCTCGTGGTCGAGCAACAATTTCTTGGGCCCCCAAAAGTTTACACGCTGGTCGTTGAAAGTAGGTATTTTTGGGTTCCCAGATCCCAATCTACTTCAAGCGCCTTCCAACTTCAAGAATCGACACGCTTTTGCTGTGTTTTGTTATTCTCTGGGGGGGCCTGGACGCAATCAACTTAATCCGCCTTCCTACTTCATGTTTTTACCTACTTCTTCCGACCGACGTGTAGTTCTTGGTGCTTTCCGCATCCCTGGGGGTCAGGGCCCAGCCCTGCAAGGACGCTTTCGGGATTGCGGGGGCCTCAAGAATACGTGTTCGTGCCAAGAGACATATTTGTATTTGTGTTTTTCGCAGCCCCAGTGGTCGGGGCCGCGCCCTAGACAATGTTTGTGGGCCTGGGGGGGGCCGAACAATTTTTCGGGGCGCGGGCAATTTATTGTTGTGCTTTTCTCAACCCCGGGGATCGTGGCCCAGCCCTGGAGGACGTTTCCGGGCCTGGGGACCACCCAAAAACAATTTCCTGGTCCGGCAAAATTTATGTTTGTGCTTTTCGCAGCCCCAGGGGTCGGGGCCTAGCCCTGCAGGACGATGTCATGGCCCCCGACCCCCCCCCCGCCCCTATGACGTAACGCTCCCCCCCACAGTGCGTTCCGGGCACTGCCGCCGTGCGCATCGTGATCCGCATAGGTGTCCGCATAGAGATCCGCATAGGAGTATCGTCCGCAGTCGTCTTCGCCGTTGTCCTCGTCGTCGTTGTCGTCGTCGTCGTCGTCCCCGCCGCCGTCGTTGTCGTCGTCGTCGTCGTCGCTCGTCGCTCTTCGCTCGTCGCTCATCGTCGTCGTGCGCGCGGACGCAGCTGGAGCCTGTTTGTAAATTCCGCTTCGATGGCGGCAATCATGTGGGAGGGGTGGAGGGGGCCGATGACGTCACGTTTCGCGCCGGCGGCGTCTCGAAATGCTTCGGAATGACCGAGGACGGGTAGCAGCAGCATGTCGGTGGCGATCTGCACCACAACGGCCGTGTACACCACAGTGCCTGCGTGCACCACAGCGCCTGTGTACACCACACCGCTTATGTACACCACAGCAGCCGCGTGCAACACAGCGCCAGTGTGTGCCACAGTGTTTTTGCGTGCACCACAGCGCTGTTGTACACCACAGTGAATGCGTAATTACACCACATCAGCCGTGTGCAACACAGCACCAGTGTACACCACAATACCTGCGTGCACGAAAGCGCCTGTGTACACCACGGCGCCTGTGTGCACCACATCAACCGTGTGCAACCAAGCACCACCCTTGCATATATAACTTTAGAAACAATCCTTATGGGAAAAGGGAACGCCTGTGGATTCAACAGAAAACTAATGTTTTTATATAAGATTAGGAAAGGGATCCTTATGGAAAAAGGAGTGTCGCTGGAATCTACGAGTCCTCCAGAGTCCGCCCGCATCATCCTAACTCTTCCCATCTGCGTCCAGGAGGCTCCAGCGAAACTGGCCGTCCGAGAACCAAGTTCACTGATTCAATCGACCATTATGCGGTGCACGCTGATATGCGCACGTGCGCTGTAGCATTGACCCGCACGACATAGGGGGTAGGGTGAGGGAGGAGGAAGAGGAGGACGGGAAGGAGGAGGAGGAGGAGGAGGTGGAGGGAAACATGTCGCATTCTATTATCCGCATTTTCTTTGGCGTGGTGTTTAGCTGTCCGCAGCAGATTATCGCCGACATGCTCCTTCTACGTGTCCTGTGCACGCAGGCGCTCTGGTGTACACCAGCGCTGCGTTGCAAGCGGATGTTGTGGTGTAGACAGGCGCTGTTGTCTGCACTGGCGCTGCGGTGCACGTAAGCATTGTGGTGTAGACAGGCGCTGTATTGCACATGGCTGCTGCGGTGTACACATTCGCTGTGGTGTACACCGGCGCTGTGGTGCACGCACGCAGTGTGGTGTACACAGGCGCTGCGTTGCACACGGCTGTTGCGGTGTACGCAGGCGGTGTGGTGTACACAAGCGCTCTGGTGCACGCGAGCACTTTGGTGTACACAGGCACTGTGGGGCAGATCGCCACCGACATTTTGCTCGCGTCGTCGTCGTCGTCGCTCGTCGCTCGTCGCTCGTCGTTCATACTCGTCGTGCGCGCGGGCGCGGCTGTGGTACCGGAGCCACACGGCTGGGGGGGGTTACGTCATACCCCCCTCCGTCCCCCCCCCATGACGCCCGGCATCTCCGCAAATAAAGAAACGCGCTCCAAGAATTTGGCCACGAAGAGATTGATGTTGGTGTTTTTCGCAGCCCCCGGGAGAGACACACGGCCCCCCCCCACACCAGCAATGGCTGGTCGGCGAGGTCAGCCCCACTGCCATCGAGAAGGCCGTTGCCAAAGCGGAGACCACTATCGCCGAGAAGAACACCACCGTGGAGAAGGACCCCGTCGAAGACCACGCCGAGAATGTCGAGGGGAGCCGCGGGGTGGGCAGCGAGGGAGGGAGGAGGGGGGTTCAGTCCAGGAGGAGAAGGAGGTGCTGGGGCGTGCCTGCATCGTCGTACGATCGACGAGTGAGCCGATGTTCCCCATGTGTTCGGGCATGCGCCTATATCTGCGCCCTTGCTCCTCCTCCTGGCGAGCACGCTGCGTCGGCCCCGAGGTATGTCGCAGCCCAGGGTCTCGGGGCCCGACCCTGGGGAACGGGTCCAGGCCTGCGGACCTCCCAGGAGGCACTTTTCAGGGGAGCAATATTTCGGGGATGGGTCGGGGCCCCGCTCTGGAGGACGCTTCTTCGGGCCGCGGGGCCCCCGACCTGGGGACCTCACAGCAAAAGTGCTTCTCGGGCGCCGACGACGTGAGTGCTGCATTCTTCGCGGCCCCGGGGGGTCGGGGCCCAGCCCTCGAGGACGCTCTCGGGCACGGAGGCGTTCACGTGCCTCGGGCCCCGACATGTTTATATTGTGGTGTTTTTCGCGGCCCCAGGGGGCAGGGGCCCAGCCGCGGAGGACGTTCTCGGGCCTGAGGGCCTCCAACCGATTGTTCGGGCCCAGCACGCTGATGTTGGCGTGTGTTTCGCAGCAGCGGGGATCGGAGCCCAGCCCTGGAGGACGCTTTCGGCCTCGGGGACCACCACGACAAACTTCTGGGAGCCCGAGAAGTTCATTACAGTGCTTCCCGGATCCAGCCCCGATCTTGTAGGAGACTTTCGGGCCTGGAGGTCTCCAAAAATCTGGGGCTCAACACATTTGTTTAGGTGTTGCTCGCAGTCGCAGGTGTCAGGATAAAACATTGTTGATAATGTTATCTGCGTGCTTGAGTCGGCGTTCGGTTGATCACCGTGTTCGGCACGTGTTCGTGCAACTTGTGTTCGGCCAAGGCTTCCCCAAGTTGTGCAGCCAGTGCTAGGACGCGAAGCGTCATCAGCCGCTGGTCGCTGTGATGGGTGCTCGGCCGCGTTCGAGGGCGCAGGGGCCACGCTGACCCCCCCAGAGGAGCCTCGAGTACAAGGCCCTGGACGACTGGCGCACCGCGGCCTCGGGCCAGGCGCCGCGCGCGCGCGCGACCGCCGTGCGCGCCCCGCTCGCGCGCGGCCGCCTGGGGCGCCCTCGGAGCGGGGACGACGGCGACCACGACCGCGGGCGCTCCCAGAGCGCGTCCGAGCGCGCTCCCAGGCGCTCTCGAGCGCGGCCGCCGCGCGCTCCCGGGCGCTCCCAGGTGCTCCCAGGTGCCCTCGGGTGCTCCCCGGCGCTCCCGAGCGTTGCAGGCGCTCCCAGGCGCCCCGGAGCGCTCCCAGGCGCACCCCGGGCGCCGCCGCAGCGGCCAGGACGACGACGACGGGGAGCTCTGCGCGGATTTCTCTCGGATCAGCGCTGGGCACCCCTGGCGCGCTCCGCGCGCCAGGGAGGGGGTTCCAGATCCAGGAAAGCCGCGCGGAGCGCCGAAAGTTTTTCTGCTTACGCATGTTGTTATTCCTCTATCTGGCGCCTGGCTTGCTTCACATCTGGCGTTTCTGCTCGGTTTCGGCTCCTGCGGCCCGCGCTGGTCCATTGGCGTGAGGAATGCCACAATGAGTTGGGTTCCAGGGCTCGGGTTGAGATGGGGGCATGTTGTATCCTGTGTCGGACGTCGGATCTCAGGAAGGACCACGACCGTCAAAGCGACGACGACGTCGACCCCGTCGTGCAAAAGTCGCGACGGACAGCGTTTGACAGTTCGGCCCGCAGGCGGTCAACAAAAACGACTCAGCATGGAAAGCCCGCCCTCAGGAAGACTTGCGGGGGCCAAGTTGCGAATACCACCATGACTTCGAGACGACGGCGAGGATCACCACGAGAACGGCCCCCCAGATCTGGGCGTCGGCAGCCAGATAGTGACGGCCCGTGTGTCGACGTGTTTTGCGTGTGGACCCCTGGAGGGCGTCTCTCGCGCCCCCCGCCACCCCCCAGGATGACAACTCTGCCCTGGGGAAGGCTGGTGGCGCGCACAGGGGGATGGCGTGAGGCTCTGCGAGGTCTGCGAGGGTGAAGTGCCCTCTAAGCAGGGCAGAAGCCCTCCCTGCATCCAAGAAGCCTTACGGTCGGACCTATGTATAGGATCGAGGCCGGTTCGGGGAGGGGCTCATTACCCCGATGATCTTCCTGCTTGTTGGATGGTCTTGTGCATCCTGGGGGAGGGTACCCTCGACTGCTCTTCAGTCTGGCCGGCGGAGGGTCCCATGGTCTTGACGGATGTTTTTCTCTCCTGGGTTCAGCCGCATCAAAGACCCCCGGGCTTAGTGGGCCCTGGAAACGACAGGGCCGTTTTTGTTACCGACTCCGTTTTGCCGTTTTTTCCCTGTTCCGACGCCGTTTTTTTACCGGTTCCGTCGCCGTTTTTTGACCGGTCCCGGCCCCGGTTCCGATCCTGGCTGGAGCCGTTTTTTTGTCGTTTCCGGTCGCCGTTTTTTTGCTGTTCCCATTTTCGAGGGACATGTTTGTTTTTTGAAACGGTGAAAAAACGGCCCTGCCGTTTCCGGGGCCCACAAAGCCCCCGGGCCCTACGGCGGGAGGGCCCCGGCCTCGCAAGAAGCCCCCCCCCCCCCGCAGTCTTGGAGGGTCGCCCCCCCGTCGCGACGACCCCTCGAGCGCGCCAGCAGTCGACCTGGGGGCAACGTTATGTAGGCGTTGTAGGGCTTGGCATCGCTCGGACGTGTGCATTTTTCTTTCGGCGAGGGCCATCGAGGAGCATCCTTCATCACTTGGCGAGAAAACCACGCACGAAACCGAACAAAAAGCACAGGGAATGGACGTCCGAGCGCTGGCCAGGGGGGGGGGGACTGGCCCGGGAGGGAGGCATCGCCCCCCAATAGCCCACTCTCATCGCCGATCGGGCCGCGGTGGGCCACCCTTCCCAAGGAACGGGGGGGGGTCGTTACCGCGGGGGCCCCTCGCCGACCGCGTCAGCTCGGGGGCCCCCTCCCGGCACCCCGGTTGCCCCCGCGTTGAGGACTCTGTTCGGGGAAACGTGAGACTCGGGTGAGCCAGAACTCGGGTTTGCCGACGTTTTTTGACGAGCGCGTCCGATGTTTGCAGCGGGAGCTCGCGCCAGATTCCAGACCGGTTCTCGTCATTTTTACCATGGCCCCCGTCAGGCCAACCCGAGAGCCCCCGTACCCGAGACTTACGTCTCCCTGATCATGGCGTGGGCCATGATATTTCTCCAGATTTCATGGCGCCTCTTCTTATTTCATTACGCTCCTGGCCCCCCCGCTGGGCCGCGCACATGCCGCCGTTCATGATTTGCACCCCCCCCTATTGGACACCCCCCTCTTAGCCGCTCCCGATGTGCGTCTGCAGGATGTCGGTGGCGTGTGGTAGGAAAAAGCGATGGTCCCCGCACGGATGGACCCCCGCCAGCTTCCGCCCGCGCGGCGCAGGTGGACGGGGTCGTCTCCCAGGAGAGGGACCAGCTGGACCCGGCCGCCACCGAGGGCCTCCGCGCGGCCGAGAAGCCTCGCCCTCAGCACGCCGTGGGCGTGTGGAGCCCAGGCCTCTTCGAAGCAGGGGACCCAGACCCCCTCGAGTAGTGAAAAAATCACGACGGGAGGTTTTTCGTCATTTTCAGTCTCTGGGGGTCCTTGCCGGGCCTCGGGACCGTCAAAAAACGACTCAGGATGAAAAGCCGGTCCCAAGGAAGGGGTCGAAACCTCTGGGGGTCGACGTCATGAAAAAATCATGACGTCGGGGGTCTGGGGACAGCTCCCATGCGGAGGTCTTCCCCCGATTGAGGTCTCTGGAGGCTCCCGTCGGGCTCCAGGCCAGTCCAAGACGATGCAGTGAGCATGTGGTGCGTAAAGCTGGCCTTGGGGAAAGGGTCGGGATCGGACGGGGCTAGGACGAGGACAAATTCGTCCAGAGCGTTAGGGAACGCTATCAGAGCGTTCCAGAAAGCTCTGAGAAGGCCGCGGCGCTCGAGACATCCTCCGATTCATCCTCACCCGATAGTATCCTCGTCCTGGCTTCGTTTCACTGGACGTTCAAGGATCCCGTATTGATCAAATCGAGGCATCGGATGTCTGGGAGCATATCTACGTTTACGGGCTTCCTCGTTCCTATGATGCAGATCGGCTTTGCGCGGATGCCCCGAGCCGCGCGAACGTCGCCCATGGAATCGCTGATCCGTATGATCGTGCCTCGGAGTCCGGACCGCGAGGGCATGGCGGATATGGATATGTTCGTCGCTCGTGATGACGGCCTTCTCCTCTCGAGATTTCGGGCGGATAGATTTCTCGGACGGTCTTTTCTGCTCAATCCCAGCATCGTTCTTTCGTGTCCCGGGGCCTGCTGGCGCAGTCGTTTCTTGGCCCTCTGGAGATCAGACATTGATCCCGAACGGAAGTTGCCCCCGGGAAGCGGCGTCGGGACTTTGACCTGGGGCCGCGGATCGAAAAGCATCACGTCGTCGGACGTCTGGGTGTCCTTTGCTCTGCCTCCGCTCTTCCCATCTCTTCTGCACTCCGGCTCCTCTCCTCATCCTCCGCACCCCACTCCTCTCTCATCTTCCCCTCTGCGCTCCACTCCCCTCTTCTCCTCCGCGATCCACTCCTCTCTCATCTTCCCCTCTGCGTTCCACTCCATTCCTCTCCCCTGCACTCCTCTCCTTCGCACCCCACTCCTCTCCTCTCATCTCAGCTCCACTGCACTCCCCCGTGCGCCACCCCACTCCTCTTCCCTGCGTTACACTACACTCTTTTATTTCTCCCTGCCCCACTGCAGAACATACATGAAAAATTACCCTGCGACGCACCCAACCCGTGCGCATCAATTGTCAAGAGGAAGTTGCCCAATTTTGCAAGGGCAGCGACAGTGCAGGCGCCGTCGTTTGTTGGGCAAGCTACATGTGCACGACAGCGTGCCGACCTGGGAAACTGATTTTGCAAATTGGCGATAGCGACGCCTTAGCCCAGATCCTGGATGGCTACAGGATGGCCTTGGCGTGCGATGGACGACCGCGGCGCAGAATCAAAGTAGCATCTGCGGGCCCGAACGGCGACCGCCTCGCAAGACGGAGGTTACCGAAATATAAAGGCGGGTCCGAAGGACGACCGCTGCGCAGAGTCGGGATGGTATCGCCGGGCCCGAAGGGCGACCGCGTGGCCCCCCAGGGACGGCGAGGTCCCGCTCTGATCTGCGCAGCACCGCACTACGTTGCCGCACCCCTCCCCCAAGCAGCCCTCGAGAGTGGCGGCAGTTTCGCAGCTTGCAGCCCCCCAGAGATGGCGAGGTCTCGCTCTGATATGCGTAGCAGCGCACGAAGCTCCCCCCCTCCAGCAGCCCTCGAGAGTGGCGACAGTTTCGCAGTCCGTAGCCCCTCAGAGATGGCGAGGTCCCGCTCTGATCTGCACCGCACTTAGATGCCCCCCCTCAGCAGCCCTCGAAAGTGGCGACAGTATCGCAGTCCGCAGCCCCCCGGAGATGGCGAGGTCCCACTCTGACCTGCGTAGCACCGCACTGCGCTGGACCTTCCAGCAACCTTCGAGGGTGGCGACAGTTTCGCAGTTCGCAGCCCCCCAGAGATGGCGAGGTCCCGCTCTGATCTGCGTAGCACCGCATTGAGCTGCCCCCCGCCCAGGGCTTGGCGTGGTAATCTAGGACGGCGAGGTAGGAGGCAGGCTGGCAGGCAGGTACAAGCCGGGAAAGAGGAGAGGAGGGAGGAGAGGAAGAGGGAAGCGGGAGGCAGGAGGAGGAAGGAGGAGAGGCGACCACAGTGTTCAAATTCAAGACGAGAACCCCACGCAGGAGGGCTGGGGGGAAAAAACAACAAAAACACAACATGGGTACACGCATACATGTTCCACTTCGTATATTTGTATAACATGGAGCCCTCCAGAAAATCGGCCCTTGCCCAGATCCCTGGCCCCACCCGGGTGCACTGGAATCCCCGGGCCTTCGGGCCTGCTAGGGTCGCCCCTGCCGGCCCCATAGCCGTAGACTCCCAGCGGCCACGCGGGCGGCCACATTGGCCCCGCGAGAGCCCCAAGTGGCGCGCCACCCTGACTCCAGATCCGCCCTACTTTGGCTTTTTTCCAAATTAAGATTACATCGGAAATCCATATATAAGGAGCCGAAAAAGTAGGGCGGAAATTTCTGCACCCAACATAAAATAGGGCGAAAATCAACAGAAGTAGGGCGGAAACAACAACAGAAAAGTAGGGCGGAAATTGGCATCAGCGGGGCTTGAAACGTAAGGCGGAAATTCCAAGCCCTACTTACGAATTTCCCCAAAGTAGGGCGGATCCGGAGTCAGGGATCCCTGGTCCAATCCGGGTGTACTGGAATCCCCAGGCCTTCGGGCCTGCTGGTCGCCCCTGCCGGCCCTATAGCCATAGGCTCACAGCGGCCACGCGGGCGGCCACATTGGCCCCGCGAGAGCTCCAAGGGGCGCGCCAAACCCTGACTCCGGATCCGCCCTACTTTGGCTTTGTTTCCAACTTAAAATTGCGTCCGAAATCCACCTAGAAGAGGCCGAACTAGTAGGGCGGAAATTGCTGCACCCAACATAAAATAGGGCGGAAATCCACAGAAACAGCTACAGAAAAGTAGGGCGGAAATTGGCATCAGCGGGGCTTGAAAAGTAAGGCGGAAATTCCAAGTTCCACTTACGAATTTCCCCAAAGTAGGGCGGATCCAGAGTCAGGGATGGCCCCGCGAGAGCTCCAAGTGGCGCGCCAAGCCCCAAACCAGCCGGAAGACGACCCACAAAATACCCACACGCGGGCCATTCCAAATGCCGAAAAACATTGATTCGTTCCATTGTGTTTAGTCGATTTTGGGGGGAGGCGCGATTCTTCGGTCTTCGCGACGTCCGAGGCCCCTCGAGAGGTACCGAAAAGCGATCCCAAACGGCTCAAAAGCTTTTGCAAACAGCCCAAAGAAGCCCCAAAACATCCCAAAGAAGCCCCAAATAGCTCAAAGAGAGTCCCATGACAGCCCAAGATGGCCGCAAGACGCTCCCCGAAGCTCTCCAAATCGTGGCCCGGTTTTTGAGGGGCTGCGCTTCGCATAAGGGTGGCCCGAGGAAGCTCCCAGAGGTCCCCAAAGGGCGCCCAGGAGGCCACGAAATGGAGCGGGGCACCATTCGGACCTAGCCACGGGAGTTTTCGGTGGAGCTCCCTGATGCGGGGCCACCAACGTATGTGAACCCAGCCACTTTCCCGGATAGCTCCTTGGAGAGCTGCAGGGTTGTAGAATTAGAAGCCAGCACCGCAGAGTAGCCCCAGAGCTCGTTCCGGCTTCCGTGAAGAATCCCCGCTGGGGCTGGCCGATAGTTGCAGCGTGTCCCAGCTGGGCTTGTCTAAGCGTTTTCCAATACGTCTGCCTGGAAGCTTTCCAGAAGCTCCTTCGAACGCTCCTTCCAGGTGCTTCCAGAGCTGCTCCGAGAAACCTCTGGACGGCCTCCTGGTGCTCCGCTATCCGGGTTTGGGACTTCACTTCCGTGGACCTTCGCCCGTGTCTCCCAAGATCGCTGTCTTCGTGCGCAGCCAGAAACGCCTGCAGTTCTTCGTCCTCGCGCCAACAGCAGCTCGCCCCAGGCAGGAGGAGGAGGAGGAGGAGGAGGAGGAGGAGGAGGAGGAGCAGGAGGAGGAGGAGGAGGAGGAGGAGGAGGAGGAGGAGGAGGAGGAGGAATTCCAGATCGCCTTCGGGGCCGCGCGGCGCGAGCGGCGCGCGCGGCGCGAGCGGCGCAAGGTCAGGAGGCCTGGGTCGGCTTGGCCTGGGTCGGCTTGGTCCTCGGGCCTCTCGGGGCCGTACGCGCGGAGCTGGCCCGCTCGCCCCGTTCTGCAGCCCCTCGGCAGCTCCCCTTCGCGACGCATGCTCACCCTCGCGCCATGTCGCGCCCTCGGGCCGACCCCGTGCAGGAAAGGGCCCCGCCGCCCTGGCCTGGCCTGCGACGCGCGCCGCGCGCTCCTCGGCGCCCCCCCGCGGATGGCCCGAGGGGCGGCCCAGACAAGGAGCCAGAACGGCTCTGGAGGGTCTGCGCTGACCGCCAAGGTACGCCCAGATGCTGAAGGGCCTCGGCAACGGCTTCGACACCTTCAGGGGCGCCCTCGCCGACTTCCGCGCCGCCAACCGGGGGCTGCAGGGCCGCCAGAACCAGGAAACCCACGCCCCCCTCCCTCCTGCTCGACTGCCTGCGCGCTCTCATTGCCGCTTCCTCTTCCGTCTCCCGTGCACGTAGCGCCGTCGGCAAGCACTTGTTTGCGGTTTACCTGTCCCCAAGGGTCCTCCGACGAAGGGCTGATTTTTCATCCTGAGTTGCTGTTAGACGGTCTTGTGTGTTTTTCGATGGTCGCGTGGTCAGGACACGGCCTCCCATGGAGACGCCGCGGGCGGCCGAGAGGGGGGGGATGACTGCGTGCATTGATCCCATATCTGTGGCTGGAGATCGACAGTGAGAGCGATTGAGTGAGATCGATAGTGAGATCGATAGACAATTCAATAGTGAAATCGATCGGCAAGTCGAGAGTGATATCTTGTGACAACGATAGTGAGATCGAATGTGATATCGATAGGTATTGAGACCAAAAGAACAGGTCGGATGCGAGATCGACAGATCGTGAAATCAATGGAGATCGAAAGTGGGATCAGGTGTGATCTCGATAATGGGATCGAGAGTGTGATTGACGGTTTTGTTGACTGATATGGAGATCGATCGTGGGATCGATAGCGGTTTTCCGTGGTATCTCGTGGTGTTTTGCGGTTTGTTCTGCGTCTAGCATGCTTTCCTAAGAGGGAAGAGCGCCCTGCCAAATATATGCCATTTGGTCAGCAAGCCATCAGTCACCATCGGATCAATTGCAGTTATCATCAGTTGCCCCCTCCCCCCCACAATCCTTTTATCACCCGTAGGGTGGTCGTATAGGTAGAAGGCTCGTTTCTTTCAGCGCAAGAAGCAAGTCTGCTAGCGCTGGCGCGCCTGAGGGTGGCTCGCCAGGTCTGCGAAGCAGGCAAGTCGCAAGCAGCAGGTGAGGGGAGGCATCAACGCAGCGTGCACCCGAGCCGTAAGCACTTTGGCCAGCGAGCCGCCTCGAGCTCTACGTGCGTCGCAGCTACCGTGCTTTTCACCCTGATCCTGGGAGAAGCAGTGCACTTGAAGGCAGGGTTAAGTCGGGCATTTCCCTCCACGGGAGGAACAGTCAAGAATGGCGAAACATGGCTTGGTGACGAGGATCCATGTTTGTGTCACTATATTCGGTGATGCTTTTGTTTTTGTTGCTAGTTGTTCTTCAAAAAAACGCCTGTAGGAGGACTCAGCCACGCGCAGAGCGGGGTGGGGGGGGAGGAGGGAGGGCTTTTCAGAAGCACCCCTGCTTCTTAGCAGGCGCGGGCCTCATCTGTAGATGTGAGGCCGGCGCCGTCTAAAAAGCAGCCTCCTTCCAAGAAGCCCTCCCTCCCTCCACCCCTTTTGCGCGCACTGCCAAAGGACATGCCCCACCTGAGGGCAGGGTTCGCGCTCCACCTGCGTGATCGGGTCTGCTGCACCCTGCGCGTCCCCCCCGAGAGCCACGCACCGAGGCCGCGCCTGCACGGGGCCACCCCTTGGCGTGCAGCCGACCCCCCCTTCTCCTCCTCCTCCTCCTCCTCCTCTTCCTCCTCCTCCTCCTCCTCCTCCTCCTCCTCCTCCCCTCCTCCTCTCCTCCTCCTGCTCCCCCTCCTCCTCCTCCTCCTCCTCCTCCTCCTCCTCCTCCTGCTCCTGCTCCTGCTCCCCCTCCTCCTCTCCTCCTCCTGCTCCTGCTCCCCCTCTCCTCCTCCTCCTCCTCCTCCTCCTCCTCCTCCTCCTCCTCCTCCTCCTCCTATCTCAGGGCTCGGGGCCCGCAACCGGGCGAACACGCCCGACTCGAAAAGAATGCGGCGCCAGGATCCTCGAGGATCGAGGCCCGAGGTTCGAGGATCGAGGTTCGAGGTTCGACAAATCAAGGTTTTAGGCTCGATGTTCGGGCCCTCGAGGCGACGCAGGGCAAGAGAAGGCGTGCCCAGCGAGTGGGGCCTCTTGCCTTGGCGCACGCTGTGGCCGGAGCCGTCGCTCCGGTGACGCCTCACCAGGAGTGCGTCGGCCCAGGGGTCAGAGGAGGAAAAGGTACCCATACCGCCTCCTCCTCCTCCTCCTCCTCCTCCTCCTCCTCCTCCTCCCTGGAGACCCCCCCGAAAGGAGGAGGAGGATGAGGAGGAGGAGGAGGAGGAGGAGGAGGACGAGGCCCTCGTCGCCACAGCCGAATTCGCCTCGAAATTCTGGTCAGAACGCACACCGGGAGAGGTCCGCGGAGTAGCGGGTACCTTTTGATTTCCCCAAGGGGGGCCCGCCTAAACAGCCCCAGGCTATTCCAAATCGGTCGCGACCGATTCCAGAATCGGTCGCGACTGGTCGCGACCGATCGATCCAGGCGACGTTGAAGCAAATCGGTCGCGACCGATATTGAAGTTTGAAGCAACATCGGCAGCGACCGATTCCCTGGGAGGCTTCTCAGAAGGTTGGCTAATGCAGGCCCCTCGGATAGCTTCTTAGAAGGCCTCCAAGACGCCCTTCTTAGAAGCCTCAGGGCGCTTCTGAGAAGGCTTAGGTTGGGCATGTCCTCCTGCAGGCGGATTTTGGAGGAAAAATCAAACATAGTCAAACGATATCCACAAGTGGTCAAAGATAGTTGAGAATTCCTCCCCTGAATATTACCCCTGTCGAGGGACATGCCCAACTTGAGAGAAGGCCCCTGCATTCTGAGAAGCCTCTTGGCTTCTCAGAAGGCCCAGCCCCTCACTCCGCCCCCTCACCACCGCCTGGGGGGGTCGATCTCCTCGGGAGCCGTGGCGGGCGCCGGGGGTGTCGGCACCCTCGGGCCCTGCGCCGCTCCGAAGATGCCCGGTTGCCATGTCTGGGGCCGTTCCAGAGAGGGCCTCGCTTTCGAGGGTCGAGGGGAATCGTCATCTCTTCCGCGGCGGGAGGCGGCGGGAGGCCGCCTCCGCCGGCGGAAGCTCGGCGGAAGGCGGCGGAAGTAAAATATCGGCCCCCAAGACATGAACACAATTTTTGGGCTCAGGGTTTCCGAAATCGCCCATAAATCCAGATCCGCTCCGAAGATCGACCCTCTCGGCGAGGGCCCCTGCAGATTGACCCTCTCGGCGCTCGGCGGTGGTGGTGGAGACATCCCCGTCTCGCACCCTTTCAACGACCAGCACACCGGTAATTGAAAGTGTACATATTTGGATTCTGAATATACTTTAAGCGCCTTCCTACTTCAAGAGCTGATATGTTCAGATTTGTTTTTCGCGCGGGCGAAGGCATAACCTACCTATACGACCACCCTTCGGGTGATAAGGAGGTTGTGGGGGGGGGAGAGGGGGGGAACCAACATCTGACTCAATCGATCTCACTATCGATCTCACTCAACGGGACACCACGGGACACTTGTCGATCTCACTATCGATCTCACTATTGATCTCATTCAGCGGGACACCACGGGACACCACGGGACACTTGTCGATCTCACTATCGATCTTACTATCGATCTCACTCAACGGGACACCATAGGACACCACGGGCTTCCACGGGACACCACGGGACACCGCGGGACACCTTTCGGTCTCACTAACAGTCCCATTATCGATCTCACTATCGATCTCATTCAGCGGGACACCACAGGACACCACGGGACACCTCGGGACACCACATCGATCTCACGATCGATCTCACTCAACCGGACACCACGGGACACCTCGGGACACCTGTCGATCTCACTATCGATCTCACTCAGCGGGACACCACGGGACACTTGTCGACCTCACTATCGACCTCACTATCGATCTCACTCATCGGGTCACCACGGGACACCACGGGACACCGCGAGACACCTTGGTCTCACTATCGATCTCACTATCGATATCACTCAGCGGGACACCATAGGACACCACGGGACACTTCGGGGCACCACATCGGTCTCACTATCGATCTCACTGTCGATCTGACTCAACGGGACACCACGGGACACCACGGGGCACTCACCCCGGGACACCGCCCGGCCCAACCGGGACACCTCCCGGCCACTGGCGGTCAACGGGACACCACGGGAGCCCACGGGACACCCCGGGACACCGCCCGGCCCAACCGGCCACCGGCTGCTGGGCACCCGGACTTTCGTTCCTACTTCGGCCTAGCTACATGAGGATCACGCGCAGCTTCGCCTCGCCCGCACGCACGACACGAACACGAAACCGAAACCGAAACCGATTTCCCGGTGGGGGGTCTCCGCTTCACTGCGATCTCACCCTCCAACCTCCGACTTTGAAGTCGGGCATGCCTCTCTACAGGAGGAATCTGCAAACACAACAAATTGTCAAACAATAGTCTGGGGTGGAACGTGTGACTATGCTTGGATTTTGTGTGTCGAATCTGTGTTCACTACGTTGAATGTTTTTTCTTCCGCCTGTAGGAGGACATGCCCGACCTCAATATACTCCGAGAGGGCTTGGTTGTCACTTCCCTGGGTGACGTTGGTTGTTTTTATGGTGGTAGTCGTTTGTCCGTCGGTCGTTTTGAACTGTCTGGCGGGATCACCGTGTCTGTGCTGCCGCGGGCGTCGCCCGCCCGTCACGAGGAGCGCCTGCACGGTGGCAGCCGCTGTCGCGCAGGAGCAACCTTCGTTGGCCATCGCCCCCAGCCTCTGAGATCCGACGTCGCGGGAATTTGCAGTGCAGCGGAGGCCCATGCCAAGAGACACCCTGCTTGCCTCCAGGGTGCTCTGGGCTTCTTGGGTTTCGACGGTTTTGGCATGGGCAGCGTGACGTTCCCACACCAAGAATTAAATGGACGTGCTGGGGTCTCATGGTTGGGTGTCTTGTGGAAGGTTCCTTCTGGATTGGCCTCCACCCTATTCAGACAGTTCACCACCAAAGCTCTTAACCTTCTTTTCTGCGGGATATATGTCAAGCCGCGTCGATCTGCGATGACCCCGTGGCCCGAAGTTGGGCGAAGAAGCCCAGAATGAAAATATTGCGGCGCCACGACCTCAGGGTTTGTGGTTTACCCATGTCGGTCGCCCAAGTGCGGTCAGGAACGCGTGTTCAGCGTGTCGTGCCACGGGTTCTGGCCCACCACGCTTCGGCGCGACGCGCTGAGCATATTGTCCAGTTGCCAGGCAGCGACGCCCCGAGCTTTTTGTCCGACCGCCCGTGCCATAAAAGACAGAGCGGCACGCAGTTTTTGCAGGGCACGACTCGCCTGCTGCAGGGGCGCCGTCGCGATTCGCTGCGCACGGGGCCCCCGCCCTTCCTTCCCCTCCCGAGCATGCTCCAATCTGACGTTGTCAGTGCGCGGCCCCGGGATGCTTTCCCCAGGGGCAGCTCGGCGGCCCCGGGCCCGATCTTGCTCATGGCCCAGGGGCCCGATCACGCGGTCCCCCAGTGCTGGAACAAAAATTGAGAGGGGCGTCCGGGCTGAGAGCACGGTTTACCAGCTTGAAACATATCCCTATCCCTATGTTTGACATCACCTCGCCTCGATGCCGATCTTAAGGATTCCCTCATTTTCTGAGGGCCTATCCCTAAGATTGTCCTCTTGTTTTGCTCGCCAGTCTTAGGGATAGGGATAAGTTCGAGGCTGGTTAATGGTGTCGTCGGAGATTTGGGTTCACTCGGGCATTGACAGAGCGCGCCCCCCAGTCACGTCGACCGATGAGAGTTGCACGGGTTCGCTCGGCATTGGCATGCGAGTGTGCACGTGCAGTTCCCAGGCGACTTCGCGAACCGACGTGCGCTTCGCCGGATACATCCAGTGTCTCCTGGACGTCCATCGGACACCCCGCTGGGGTGCACTCGGAATGCAGTGCCGTGCGCACGTGGAGTGCTCCTGTCGGCTGCATGTGAGAGTGGCCCTCCGCCAGAGTGTCCCTTGGTGCGCGGCTCTCGGGCGGCTCTCGGGAGAGCGCAGCCCGAGCCTGCAGGCGGCCACTGCCGCGCCGCGTGCAGCGCTCGGCAGGCCGAGTACCAAAGAGGTCACTCTTGCCCAGGGCCGCTCTTGCGTGCAGCCAGCCCTGGCATCTTTCACGAGCGGGCGTCTTGCTGAAGGGCGTTGGGCTTCCCCCGGACGGGGCAAGGACGAAGATAAGTCCGTTGTATACAGCGTTCCGGAGCGCCTCCAGAGCGTTCCAGAGCGCTCTGAGAAGGCCGCGGCGCCCGAGACGTCCTCCCGAACCGCCGCATCTCAGAGATTCCCGATTTGTCCTCGCCCGATGTTATTCGGTAGCTAATAATCATGGGGGCCTGGTATGCCCTCGTAGGTCGTCTTGAGCGTCGAGTAGCGTCCACTGTAGCGTCTGGGAGTCGATGAGATCGCGCCGCTGTAGCACCGGCTAGCGTCGATTTAGCGTCGACTGGCGCCGATCCGCAAGAGCCGACAGGATGGCATGGGAGGGCCCTGACTCCAGATCCGCCCTACTTTGGTTTTCTCTCCAACTCAAAATTGCGTCGGAAATCCACCTACGAGAAGCCGAAAAAGTAGGGCGGTCCAGTGAGCTGCCACCAGAAGTCTATCCTCTTCCTGGCTGCGTCTTCTTCCCACCGCTCGAGGCTGGCCCATGGGCCGCCGGTGGGCGCAGCGGGGGCCGCGCACGGCGGGGGGTCGGGGCCTCAGGAAGTGCGCGAGACGCTCCAGGCCGCCCGGGCCGAGGCCGAGGGCACCGTCAACGCCACCGGGACGCCAGGTCGGGAGGAGAGCCGAAGCTTCTGCCTCCGCTCCAGGCCTCCTATGGATGGGGTCCGAGCAGGTGGGGTCGGAGGATCGCACCGCATCGCCGGTGCATCGGCGATGTGGCTCGGTGTGGAGCTCGATTTTCTCCACGCCGACGGCGCCGATGCATCGCCGACGTCGCGGATGCATCGACGATGCGTCGGCGCGATCCTCCGATCCCATCTGCTTGGGCCCCATCCAGGATGCCTCCTCCGTCTCCTCGTTTTTTTTGGATACCCACCCCAGTCAGATTCCGCCCCACCTGGCCACGTTCAGTAGACAAGAGCCGCGCCCCAGGGAGGGAATTTCGTGTACCAGACCCACGGCCAGGACCCTCGCCCGTAGTGTACAAACTTTTCGGGCAGACCGCTCGAGTCTTCCTCCTCCTCCTTCCCCTCTACAGCTTCACATTTTTCGAAAACTGCTCACATGTCTCCCCTGACTCCGTCCCGAGAATGACCGGTTCTCTCGGTGTGTTGTGTTTGCTGTGCGCACAGGGTTGGGCAGAGGTGTTCCTGGGTGTTTTTGTTTTACAATCTGGCTGCTCCCGGTGTTTCAACATGATGTTCCCGCTCCATCCAGCTTGGGCCTCATTTGCGAATCGACGGTTTGCTCCCGCCGTTGCTCCTCCCGACCCCTCCACTCCAGCTCATGCAGCTGCTTCTCGTCCTCGTCCTCTTGCTTCCTCCTCCTTCTGTTCTTCCTGCTCATCCTCCTGCTCATGCGCCACCTCCTGCCCCAATGTACGCAGCTCCTCTTTTTCCGAGTGCGCATCACACGATGGGGCCCTCCTTGGAGTTCCTGGTCCGCTATGACACGCGTCGGCGGGTAGAGAAACGACAACACAATGGGAAGCGATGGCTAGGAGGAGTCGGATATCAGATATGGCGCGAGCGCACCTATCTTGATACGAGTACGACTCTCCTCTCTCCCCTGACTCTGGTCGGAAGATGTCCCGCTCTCTCTGCGCACTGTTGCTTCACACGCAGGATTGGGCAAAGGTGTTGTTTCTTATGCATGTGCTGAAGTCCGATTGTTTTCGGCATGTCAGCATGATTCATGGATCCGAGTCCTGGATCCGATTGTTTTCGGTATTTCGGCAACTTTTTTCTGGATCCGAGTTAGTTTTCTTCGTTGCCGCCCCCCTCATCTCATTTCCCCTCCTCCACCTTCCCCAGGTCCTCCTGCTCCTCCCGCTCCTCCCGCTCCAGCTCCTGCTGCTGCTTTTCGTCCGCGTCCTCTCGCTTCCCCCTCCTTCTCCTTCCTACCCAATCTCCTGCTCATCCGCCACCTCCTGCCCCAATGTGCGCAGCTCCTTTTGGATGGGGCCCTCCTTGGAGTTCCAGGTCCGCTATGACCCGCGTCGGCGGATAGAGAAAAAAACAACGTATTCGGTACGACTGGGTGGCAGGGGTATGATGTCGGATATGGCGCGAGCGCACCGGATGTGTCCTCCACCCCTCCTCGGTCCTTGTCGTTCTGCTCCTCCCCCCTTCCCTCTCCTCGTCTTCCCCCGTATTACTCCTCCTCCCCCTCCTCCGATAACTCCCTCCTCCTTCCATAGGTGAGATACGAGGAGGAGAATAATAATGATGATAATGAAGATGAACATTATGATGATGCTGGTGATGATGATAATGCTGACGATGGTGCTGATGATGATGATGGTGGTGATGATGCTGATGATGCTGATGATGGTGGTGGCAATGATGATGGTGATGACGATGATGATGATGGTGATTGTGATGGTGATGATGATCATAATGATGTTTATGATTATGATGATGATGATGATGATGATGATGATGATGATGATGATGAAGAGGAGGAGGAGTGGTGATGAGGAGTGATGATGGGAGGGGGAAGGGGATCGTTTGTTGCAGAAGGGCAACAAGGAGGAGGAATAACATGTACTCCTCAACATGTTTGCCCAGTCTCTCGCCATCCTCCGCTTGACTTTCCGTCTCCTCCTCCGTCTCGTCCTTGTTCTCCTCATCCCACCTAATTCGCGCTTTCGCTCCTCATTGCATTCCTCCCCATCCTCCCCTCATGCCAGAAGGCGCAACAGGAAAACTATAGGAGGAGGAGGAGGAGGAGGAGGAGGAGGAGGAGGACCAGGGGAGTCAAAGGAGAAGAAGGGCCAGGAGGACGAAAAGGAGGAGGATGTTCATGCTTAGCTCCTCTTCCTCTCCATCGTCCTCCTCATCATCTCACGCCTCTCCCTCGTCCTCCGTCTGACTGTAAGACTCGTCCTCCACATTCTCAGCCACCTCCCCTCGCCCTTATGGAAGGTATGAGGCCGAGGAGGGCGGTCAGAGGAGGCGGAGCGGGTGCCGTGTAGAAGGAGGAATATGTGCATGAGGATGAGAAGGAGGATGAAGGGAATGCGAAGGAGGAGGAGGAGGAGGAGCAGGAGGAGGAGGAGGAGGAAAAACAGGAGGAGGAGGAGGAGTGACTGGAGGAGCAGCAGGAGACTTAGGATGAAGAGGAGGCGGAGGAGGAGAAAGGGGGCAATGATGACGATTATGCGGCGGATAATTGATAGGAAGAAGATGACACGGAGTATGATGGGGATGTGGAGAACCATGGATACTCACGTTGTGAATTTGGATTCCTCTTTCCCCTCATCAGCGCCGTCACCATGAACCAAGCACTTCCCTTCAGTCTCGTATCACTCCACCATATCTTCCTTTGTCCCTTCCTCCGAATTCTCTTTTGGAAGGAGGAGGGGGAGTGATATGAGGAGGGGGGCTGGAGGAAGATAATGAAGAGGGGAGAAAACAGGAGAAGACGGGATGGGAGGAGAGGTAAGAGGACGTCAATGTTTAGCTCCTCTTCCTCTCCATCCTCTTCCTGCACATCTCACACCTCTTCCTCGTCCTCCTCACTATCTGGCTCGGCCTCCTCATTTTCAGCCTCCTCCCATCGCCCCTGCGGAAGGAGGAGGGGAACGTGACACGAGTAGGGAAAGTGATATGAGGCAGAGGGCGGGCAGAGGAATCGGGGCAGGTATACGTGGTGCAAGAGGAGAGGGAGGAGGATGATAATGAAGGGGGTGACAAGGAGGAGGAGGAGGAGGAGGAGGAGGAGGAGGAGGAGGAGGAAGAGGAGAGACATGAGGAGCAGCAGGAGACGCAGGATTAAGAGGTGAGGAGGAGGACACGGGGTAGTATTATGACGACGATGCATCACAACCTTTATAGAAGGAGAAGGAATATGATGGGGATGAGGAGAAAAGGGGTACTGATGTTGAGGAGTGTCTAGTCCTCTTCTTCCTCCCCTCCCCATCGACATCATCCTGAAGCAACCACTCCTCTTCATCATCATCATCATCATCATCATCATCATCATCATCATCATCACCATCACCATCATCATCATCATCATAGCGACGATGCGTGGGCTCAAAATGTGGATGCCCGATGCGAGATGCGAGATCGACTGGGGAAAAAAGGAGGGCAATTGCTTGAGCAACCTCAGCGGTCCGGGCACTGGAGGGCGCCATCCTCGCGGGCGCGTGCTCGGGGAACCTTTCGGGACATCGTGGCTGTTCTTGGGTTGCGCGGTCTTGTTTTCTGCGCAGCGCCATCCCTGACTCCAGATCCGCCCTACTTTGGCTTTTTTTCCAACTTGAAATTGCGTCGGAAATCCACCTACAAGGAGCCGAAAAAGTAGGGCGGAAATTGCTGCACCCAACATAACATAGTGCGGAAATCCACAGAAACAGCAACAGAAAAGTAGGGCGGAAATTGGCATCAACGGGGCTTGAAAAGTAAGGCGGACATTCCAAGCCCTACTTACGAATTTCCCCAAAGTAGGGCGGATCCGGAGTCAGGGCGGTCTTGCTTTCTGCGCAGCGCCATCTGCTGCTCGTCGTGTACGCTGCCTGGCGGGGATGCGGGTCGAGATGAATCTGTGTGCAGCGAGCGCCGCAAGCAAAAACGCCACCGTCATCGCCAGCTCTGACGAGCAGCAAATCAAAGCGTCGATTTCAGCGGGGGGGAATCGGCCAGCCTCCTCCTCCTCCTCCTCCTCCTCTTCCTCCTCCTCCTCCTCCTCCTCCTCCTCCTCCTCCTCCTCCTTCTCCTCCTCTCAAGCCATTTCGGCCTGCAGGCGCGCGCGCGCGCGCCCGTGCGGGCCGAGGCTGCAGGGCGCGCACCATCGGCGGCGGCGGCTCGCTGTACGCCGACTCGCGGCTTGAGAGGGGGCGGCAGCAGCCGCTGCAAAAGTCCCTGCAGCCCCAGCAGTACATGACCAGGGGCCGCGGCTGGAAGCGAGATGAGGAGGAGCAAAGCTCGTGGGCGTCATGGGGTGCGCCCTGGCGCTCAACGTCGAGATCTTCCAGCTGCAGGCCGCCCAACACAAAGGGCAAGAGGCACACGCAGTACCTGGTATGCCCTGTTTGTCCAATGGGCAGCGGCAATTGGGTCTATTGCAATCGAGCATGTAAGCCTGGGTGGACCAACTGCAAGTCGTGCGGATACGAGTGGAAGGCACCCAGCGCTGCACCACGCTGTGAAGAAGCAGAAGACGGAGGAGCCTCGGATGCTGCCAGGGCAACGGTGGAGCTCCTCAGGAAGCAGTACGTCCTGGCGCAGCAGCAGGATGACCAAGTCAAGATGGACGAGATCATTGCGGCATGCCCAGAGGCCAAGCCGAAGGACCCCGTCGAGCCCACTGAGCCATCCATGGGGCAGAAGCTCCAGCAGGCGGTGGCGGAGCTCAACAAGCTGCAGAAGCAACAGGACAAGCTCGCCAAGCAGCTCAAGCGGGCCACCGAGTTCCGCGACGACGTGCTCAACAGGATCAGCACCAACGTGGCCGAGCTTGCGGAGGCAAAGCGGACATTCACGGAGGCAAGAGAAGGACTGGGTGGGGAAGATGAAGCACCTGAAGCAGAGAAGAAGCCAGATGATGAAGAACACTTCCCTACCCTCTCCCATGATGACCTGGCCATGCTGGACGAGAAGCAGC